GTGCTTTTAATATACCACAAGGTTGCGCAGCCGCCACCACAATCTAATTTCAGAACATTTTCATCACCTCAAGAAGAAATTCCATACTCTTTAGCAGTCACGCCACATTCCTCCTTCCCTAAAGGTGTGTACTTTTTACACAACACTACATTTGGTATCTGTAAAAGTGGCTTGAACTTTGAACCCAGAAGGGATATCTTCCAAAGGTAAAGAGACAAAGGAAGGGGCAGAACTAGCAGATCGGTGGTTGCCTGGGGGCAGCACGGGAAGGGATCACAAAGGGCAAAGGAAGCTTTTGGGGGAAGTGGACGAGCTCCCTGTCTTGGTCATGGGGATAGTTTCACAAGTGCATATGTATATCAGAACTTACCAAATTGCACACATATGTGCAACTGAGTATATGTCAAGTACACCGCAGTAAAGCTGTTTTAAAAAGCCACATATCCCATCAGAGGCAGGGCAGGGACTAGAACACACATCTTGTACCTTGAGGCTTTTGCACTTCCCCTTAACCCCTGCATTGTCTTAAAACCAAAGCCTATTTGAAGTTGTCCTGGCCGGTTTGGCTCAGGAGGTTGAGTGCAGGCCTGTGCACAGCAGGTCACCTTTTCAATTCTTGGTCAGGCCACATGCCTGGGTTGCCAGCCAGGTCCAAGGTTAGGGGCGTTCAGAGGCAGCCAATCTGTGCATCGCTGTTTCTCTTCCTCTCTTTCTTCTCCCTCCTTCTCTCTGTAAAAAAAATAAATAAAATCTGTCCTGGCTGGTGTGACTTCATGCATTGAGTGCTGGTCTTCGAAGCAAAGGGTTGCTGGTTCAATTCCCAGTCAGGGCACATGCCTTGATTACAGGCCAGGTCCCCAGTAGAGGGTGTGCAAGAGGCAACCACACACTGATGATTCTCTCCCTCTCTTTCTCCCTTCCCCTCTCCCTAAGAATAATTAAATAAAACCTTTAAAAAAATAAAGTCTTAAATAAAACAATTAATACCAAACCATATTCAAGTTGTAGAAAAGCCTAACATCATTTAAAAAAACCACACTATTCAAAATTTTCTATAATAAAAAATAAGAACATTCTTGACAAAAGAGTAGCAGATACAGGTAGAGAGAAGTGAACCCCACTGAGCTGGGGTGGTGGGACAGAGTGGTGTTTATCTTGGACAATATTTGCAAATGGTACCTCTGCTTGGAGGGTAAAAAAGGTAAGGATGAGGTTTTTATAAGACTGTACTTTGTGATGTAGTTGGTGGCCCCCATGGGCCAAAATAGTTTTTGAACAATTCCTGGATGAGGAAGAGGTAGGAAACCTTCCAGAAAAGTTCCAACTCTCTCTCTCTCTCTCTCTCTGATCACGCAGCCAGGCCACGAGGTGTGGCCAGCTTCCAGAGGTGTAAAATAGCCTCTTTGTGAAGGTAAAAGTGCAAGGTCATGGGTAGCTGGGCTCCACCCCTACTTGCTTTGCTGCTCACCTGGGGCTGGCCAGCACGTGCACAGGGGCACACTGTCCAGCTGGCCCTGTGTGCTCTCTGGGTAGCAAATAGGGCCTCTGGTTTTCCTACCAGAATATGTTTTTGTAAGATACTGCCTCACTAGCAGGAGTGAGGAAGCAACATGCATGCATGTAAGGTGCCATTTTTCTTTTATATGATTTTTTTAGAAATGCAAATGTAACACACAAACGTCACAAAGTCAAACAAGACAGAATTATGTCAAATGCAAACAGGGTAGAGTAGGGGCAGTGGCTCCGGGAGACAGATAAATCACCGTGATTTCTGTCCCAGTCTGGGAGACGAAGTGCAGGGGCAGGAGGAGCAGTTACTGAGATGCCAGAAGTGCTCGGGACACAGGGTTCACTCTGAGAACTCTTCTCCGGGCATCTAGCCTGTCAAAGACATTTAACCCACTGTACTGCCTCTGCACAGTTCCTACGCACCTCCTTCCACCGCGTCCCTCTCACTCAGAATCCCTTGCCCTCCTCTGCCCTGCTCTGTGTTCCAGAGAGCTGACCCTAACAGACTGCACCACCCAGCTGCTTCTGGCTGGCTTCAGGTCAGGACTGAACAAAGGGAGGCAGTGGGAGGAGAGAGACGGTGTTTATCGCCCTCGCCCATGTCTTTTTAAGCTTTATGTCCTCAGTACTCAGCACGGCAAACTGAACTAAATTGCTGACCAGGGATTTAAGACATTTTCCTGTGGAGGTGACTTTAGACCTGGGTTTTAAAGGGCACTGCTGTGTGGATGAGCGTATAATTGTGCCTGGATGACATTTATCCTACAAGAGACAAGGTCCATGTTGATCACATCATATAATATCCAGGGCAGCATGAACCCAGTCTGGGCCCTGGATCATGCTCTTCTGTTGATGAGGAGGACACTGGTGACTGGAGTGACAATGGTAATGATGACGGAATGTCCACTTACCTGACTGAGTCACGGGAAGACTTCATTTTTGTACTATGTCCCTCTGTCATATTGCCAGATAATACTTGCTTTTTGGGTCAGTCTTTTTGGGGGTGTAGTTTACCCGCAATGTTTTAAGAATACAGTTGGATGAGTTTTGACAAACTTATACACTTACGTCTATAACTACTGCTCCCATCAAGATACAGAATGTTCAGACAGTTCTCTGTGCTCCCTCCATTTAACCCCTGACCCAACTCCACATCCCCTACCCCTACCAAAGCCAATCACTCTCTGTTTGACCCCTCTCCACCTCCCTCTCCCCAACCTTGTGGGAAATTGTGTCTAATGAATTGCTTGTAACCACCCTCAAAGCATGTTGATCCTTGTCTCCATGTCCATTTTTGAACTGTTCTCTGTGATGTACCTGCATTTATCCCTTTTTACCTGGTTAACCCACTATCTTCAAGACTCCTCCTCCAGGAAGTCTTCCTGATCTTCTCTTCTATGTAGCAGGGATAAGGTGCCCTGCTATAAAGTCTAGTATTGCGTTGACTGGATCACCATTACAAATAGATTTCATTTTTATAACTTTTTGTTGAAGTGTTCTTCTCCCCATTGACCTGTGAGCTTCTTGAGACAGGGACTGGGTCATAGTCTACTTTGAATTCCTGACTCTAGCACAATGCCTGACATTTAATATGTTAGTTGCTTAAATGAATAGGTAAATTAAATCCTTTTTTTCAAGACATGGTCACAATGTTTTGAAAAAATCCTTCTACATGCTTGACCCTTTTGGTTGCAAGAAACGAAGACTCAAAATCTGTGGGAGGATTTGTAAAGAGCGTGTGCCCCTGGAAAGGCACAGAGCCCGGTGAGACCCAGGGATCTCTCTGTAGCCGTCACGGCCACACGGCTGCTCCCAGCCTCTTTAGTTGCTTCTCTTTTCTGTTTGGCTTCTACTCACCTCTCATTTCTGCTTCCTCTTAACTTTAGCTTGCATTTGGCCTCCACTTCCTCTGGCCCTGACTTTTCCTATGTCTGGCTCAAGTTGACATCCGTGAAGGTAATACTCTAACAGGCTCATCTAAGCTTTTCAGATCCACATCGTGGCTGCATCCTTAGCTAGGGACAGCCTATTGGCTCACACATCCTGCATCTCTAGTCCAGTGAACTAAAGAGTGGGTGTCACACAGTGTGGTTGCTTAGAGAGCAGGGTCTGATAGAAGAAAAAGTGGCAGGCATTCTGAGGCCTCTCCTATCTGCTTGCGGAAGGAAGTCCCTGGTATTTTTGCCCCTCATTGCTCCCGAATCATTTTAGTCTTCTCATCCTTGATGTCAGGAAAGCCAGTTATCTCCTCTCTACTTAGGGTTTACAGAATAAGGAATGTTGAAGCTGGAAGGAACTTCATAGTTCATCTGCTCCAGCATATTCTAGTGTGTGTTCTACATAATGCTAGGCCCCAAAGACGCTCAATGAAAAAAACAAAACAAACAAAAACCAGTCAGGATATTCCAGCACTTTCCTTGGGTCTCAGCTCACACTAGGAACATACTTCTCATTGATGGACCCCTGTAAAGTCCAGGATCCTTTAGAAGTAGGTGGTCTGGCTCTGAATCAGAAGTCCATGGAAAGCTCCAGAGGAGACCAGCCATAAACCCCTTAAAATGCTTGCAGACTTGAGTCAGCGAGGCGTGAGTATGTGTGCACATGCATACGTGGCCATGTTTCCTGAGACGGTGTTCATGGCTTTTGTCAGATTCTTACTGGTCAGTACCTCCAGGGCTATAGATAAGAGCCCCCTTACAAGGACGGGGGTTGCCTGTGTCTTCCTGAGGCAAATCCCTCTCTCTTCTCTTTCAACTTAAACATTTTTTCTCTGCTACAATCGGCAGCCCTCCAACTCGTATATATGGGAAAAGGTGCTTTACATAACAAAACATGAAGGGTTCTGATGATTGCTTAGGAGCCCTGTCATTTTCTAGATATAAAAACACTAAGGACCACAGATATAAAGTAGAATGTGCCTAGATCAGGCAGCTAGTCCAGTAGGGACCACAGTTGGCTTCTCTTTCTTCCTTTTCCCTTGATTTCTTTTATTAAGTAACATCTCACCAATTCCACTTTATCATTTCTCCCTCTACACATTTCAAGACATTTGTTGAGGACCATGCACCGTATTACACATTTCCTCATTCAATAATATAGCAATCCTTCTATTGCATATTATCTCACTTTTTTACTTTTCAGATAAGGAAATTGAGACCTAGGGACTTTAAGGAACTTGCCTGAGGTTGCCCAGCTGGCTAGTGGCAGAGTTGGGAGAAGAACTGTTTTCCACCGTGCTTGTTAGTGAGGCTGCCTTGTCTCATTTCTAGGTCACTTCTACATAACTAGGTCCCAGGTTTAAAGGCTCGTGCTCTGCGACAGATCTCCCACTCGCAGGGCTCACCTGAGGCTCTTGCTGGGTCACGGCGGAGACACACACCGCCCCCTAGTGGCAGGTGGGTTCCAGCACAGCGCATGCTAATGAGCCCGCGGCACGGCTCGCTGATTGGCTGGCCCTGATTCCAGCTGCTTTCCCAGGGGCGTGAGCCGAGCTCTAGTAAAGGGGTGCTGCAGGCGGCTGCCGCCCCCAACCCGCGCCCTCGGGTCCCCCCATCTCCCCTTAGACTTAAGGGCGTGAGGGAAGGACGCGGGCTCTTTCGCGTGCGGCATTGTCCGTTTTTCTCCCTTTTGTGTTCTGGTTCTGAATTCCTCCAGGATCCAGGATGACAATCCGACACCAAGGCCAGCAGTACAGGCCGAGGATGGCATTTCTCCCGAAGGTAAGCGTGGTCTGGTCACCTGGGCCCTGGGGGGTGGGCAGGGACCCAACTCTGGGAAGTGTCCGCGGAGATGCTAGGAGGCTCGGAGGCTCTGTGAGCAAGAGTGGAAAGCATCCCTTGTGGTCCGTTAGTGCGGCTGCTGGTGCTATTTAATGACTTATTTGCATTATGTGTGTTTTTAAAGACTATAATAATTAGATTTTAATGTAACCTGTTTATATTGGGAAATCGAAGCCAGGGACGATGGTCTGCTGGAGGCTCAAAACAACCTGTTACTCAGGAGAGGGGGTGCCAGAAGGCAGTTCTGTGGAGCCTGTCAGATGTGAGACTGTCTCCTGATACTGCTATCAGGCACTCAATGTTAAAATAACGGTTTTTGATATTTTTTTTATTCCAAATTGCGGTATTTTAAATTGTGTGTGTGTGTGTGTGGTGAGTGTGTACACATTGATCATGAAAATGATATGATTTGTAGGATAAGGGGACACCACACTCTAGTGCCCTCATATCATTCATTGGAGAGTGTGGATCTGCTCATCAGGTCTCTTTTCTCTTCTCTCACAAAGACTTTCTCAGACCAAGTGGCCAGGCACAAGGTGCTCTGTGGTCATGGGGGAGGTAAAATGCATCCTGTGGGGCGATGTGTTCGGGAGCAAAGAGCCTCGTTTTGTTCTGAACTCTGAAAATAATCTGGAGAGGTTGTCAGAGGATTAGGTCCCAGGTCACTTGTCCTCCCTTCCTTCCAACCACAGCCACTTCTCCTGGCGCGGCGTCCACCATCTTAGGCTTATCTCGTTGGGCAGAATTAGCTGAATGCTTTGTGACAAGCAGAGCCCTGCCCTGAGCCCTTGGAGCTCAGCACATTGGAGCAGTCAGTGCCCAGTGGCCCTATTTTGCCCAGGACCTTCAACGCTGAAATCGGGACAGTGCCAGGCACACTGGGATGGCTGGTCGTCCTCACTCAGCCTACTTCAGGAAGCCTGTGCTCATGTCCGGGTAGTAGCGGGGTGATGCTCGTCCATAAAACAGAGGCAGGTACTGCAGACACTGGTTCCTAAAAGCAGGAGGAACCGCCCAAACCCGACATCTGAAAGGTGTAAGTCATGTTCCAGGATTTCCCCAAGTCTGCTTTCTTCTTCTTCCCAGACAGGGCAGGCTTGGAGGCTCAGACAGTAATTGTCTGGAGTCATTCTGTTTGTTTTCTGAATTTCGGACTTGTTTTCCATCATGGCTGTTAGGTAGAAGAGTTTCTTCTCTTTACCTTGGCCTTCTGGCTGGAGTCTTGGTCGCCAGCCTCCCCTCCTCCACCCCAGCCTCCCTCCTCCACAATACCTGTCACAAACACCGTTTTCCTTCACAAATCGACGTTGGTTTCCTCGACCTGAAACTCCCCTCTGACTCCCCATGTTCACAGGATTAGGTCCAGACTTCTCAGCCTGGGCACTCGGGATCCTGCTCTGACCCATCTCTCTAGATTTACCTGCCTCCTGCCTCCCACGCTTGCTGTCCAGGGAAACAAAATGAAGCACTCGGTGGGGCTCTCATCTCAAGGACTTTCTCACCTTTCCAGAAAGCCCAGCCCTTTCATGCCTCAGCTTCCTCTACTGGGAAGGCCTTTCTCCCTTCTCTGTGCCAAGTTCCCATTCCTACTCTTCCGAGGCCCAGCTCAATATCCTCTCCTCTGGGAAGTCGGGTTCTGGGGACCCAACTGAGCAAAGACTTCTCGCCTGCACAGACTCTTGCCCACGCCTCCAGTACTGCCCTTCCCCTTTGCCTTAAAGGGAGGGTCCTCATGACTGAGGTCTTTGCCAGGTCACACAGCTCCTTGGAGCAGGAGGTTGGAGAGCATAAAGGTGTGCAGAATGGGTCTCCAGAGCCCATGCCAGGGGACCCTTAGTGACGAACCTGCTGAACTAGATGTCCAGCTTTCTGAAGAGGGACCCTAAAGGAACGTGAACCTGATGTAACTGTCACTCACCACTCAATGAATATTCAGTGACATAGTCAATAAAGATTTATGAAGTATGTCGTATTTTCCAATGGAAGCCTTACATGTATCATTTCATTTATTCCCTAAGGCAGTGGCTATTGTCACCATTTTACAGAGAAGAAACTAAAGCTCAGAGAGGTTGGGTGGCTCACTCTAGTAACATAACCACTAAGTCACGGAACCAGGAACCAGGAAAAATACAGGACTGACCACCTTCTGTTGCCAAATTGATACAATGCCACGCGTAGGTAGTACTCTGTCGGCTGTCGTGCAATGTAGGGCAGAGTGGAGGCTGGGGGACGGCCTGGTTAAATGTGTCCGGGAGACATGGAGCTGAGAACTGGAGGAAAAGTGGAGGTTTTAGGCAAGGAGAAAGAGAAGGATGTTCCAGGCAGAGGGAACAGCATGTGCTAAGGCACAGCGGCACAGAAAATTTGGATGTGTTATTCAGTATGGATGGAATTTGAAGTATTGGGAGAGTGGGGGCCTGGAAAGGTAGACTGGGGCCAGGGGACCATCATGGGCCTTTTAAAAATGTATTTATTGATTTTAGAGAGAGAAGAAAGGGGGGAGAGAGAGAGACATCAATTTGTTGTTCCACTTATTTATGTATTATCAGTTGATTCTTTTTTGTGCCTTGACCAGAGATTGAACCTGCAACCTTGTCATATTGGGACGATGCTCTAACCACCTGAGCTGCCTGGCCGTGGCCATCACAGGCCTTTTGAACCATTTGAAGGTGGTTTGGTTTTATCCTGTAGGGAGCCACTGAGGAATTTGGAATAGGCAAGTGACATGGGCAGGAGTGCAAATTAAAAAGACTGCTGATGTGAGTGAGTGGAATAGGTGGATATCTGCTTTGGCCTGAGTTCAGAGGGTTCACTTTGGGACCCTCATGTGCCCTCTACAACTCCAGCTGTAGGGGGCACATGAAGTGGCAAGCTCGTCACAGCGCCAGGAAGAGAGCTGCTGGATCGGGGCCCTTCTTTTCCCTGTGGTTGCTGTGGCTCTCATACCCAGTACTCCGTCTCAGGCAGATGCAGCCCCCGAAAAGAGATGCCCACCAGCCAAGCTGGTGTGAACCTTTGAGGCCTGGTCTTGTTAGAATGTGAAGGAAGGAGGTGGACCCACCTGTGCAAGGCTTTGTTAGCTGATGACACTCAGATAACTGCCTCCTGTGGCCGCAGCACTGGCCCATCCCCCGCTGTGATTCCGGGTCATCATCCTGGCCGGTCCAGGTGCCACTGCCTGTGCGAAGCACCACAGGTTGACTTTCTTTGCGCCATGTGGAGAAGTCCTGTTAACATTGCATTGCTTTCCTGTGCGGCTTCTGGCTGCGCCTTTTGCATGGGAAGGGAGTGCAGAAACAAGAGACCTGTTTGGCAGAGTATGGCATTTTCTGCTGCTATCATTCTTCATCCAACATGCATAATAATGGTGCACTTGTGCTAGGCAAGTGCCAGCTGATGGAGATGCCATGGGGATTAAGACATGTCTCCTGTCCTCCCAGCGCTTGGAGTCTAACAGAGAGAGACAGATGTACAAATGAGAATGGTGTTCCATAGGTTCTGGCACATGTGGTTAGAGGAAATATATCTATATCTAGAGACATATGCATTTCCAGATCTATCCAAATTCCTACCTATCTGTCACAGATCAGGGAATGGTCCGTTCTACTTGGATGAGGGGAATCAGGGCAAGAAGGTTTATAATTGACTTGAGGTATGGAAAATAAGTAGTTTTTTTTAATGCCAGCAGGATGGGAAGCTGAGTGACATCTTAGGTAAATATAAAGCATGGACATGTGACTTAGCACGTTGGTTTAGGAGACTCATCAGGGGTTGGGACGCTGGTCCAGAGCGGGCAGGAGGCTGATAGACAGGAAGGGGGCAGTGAGGAGGGGCCCGGAGCTGGGGGCTTCATATGTTGTGCCAGAGAGTTGGATGCTTTCTGTGTTCAGTGAGAAGCTGTTTGATGTTTTAAAATCGGAGATGAATAAAATGAGCTGGTTAACAGGTTAGAAAGATGATTCCGATGACAGAGTATGAGTTCTTCTCCACCCTGGCTGCACTTTAAGAAATATTGCTATCAAGTTACCATCCTTCGAGTTTCTGATTTACTTAAGAGGTAAGTAAGTAATTAAGTGGGGTGGAGCCGGAACATTAGCGCTTTTTTAAAATTGATTTTTGTTTTTAAGAGAGAGAGGAAAGGAAACAGAGACACTGATTTGTTGCTCCACTCATTTATGCATTTCATTGGTTAATTCTTGCATGTGCTCTGACTGGGAATCGAACCCACAACCTGGATGTATTGGGATGATGCTCTAACCAACTGAGCTACCCAGCCAGGGCGAACATTGGTGTTTTGAATAAAGCTCCCCAAGTGATTTGAATGCACAACTAAGATGGAAGCCCTTGGAGTCATTTGGCAAACTCTAGAGACATTTGGGTTGTCACAGCTGGGGAAGGGGATGCTATTGGCATCTAGCGGCTAAAAGCAGGAAGCTGCTAGACATCACAGAGTGCACAGGACAGCCAGCCCTACAAGCAAGAGCGATCTGGTCCCAAATGTCAACAGTGCCTCGGCTGGAGGATGCACTGGAACCTGGAGTTATGTCTGTTAGAATGCAGCTGCCAGGTGGGCAGACCTGGCAGTCCAGGAGGGGCGTTAGATATCCCACTGAGGCAGGATTTAGTGGACAGAGGGGAGGCACATCAAAAACAAAAGTAGCGTCCACAGATGTTGACCACTGCTGTCTGGGGTCACATCCGTTGCTCCCAGGCTTTTGATCAGGGTGTAAAGAGCAGCCTTGGGGGAAAGACTATTAGCTGTGATCTGGATACGGCACTTGTGAGGGTTTGCTAGACGTTGGGGTCAGGTGTCTGGGAGGTCAGCTGCCCGCTGTGTGGTCAGATGTATTAGCAGGAGCCCCTTCTGCTTTGTTAGCAAAATGGCCCCATGCTTCTGGGTCACTTCTCCATCTCTGTACAGAGAAGTACTGATTATTATCACCCCCCTGGGAGCCTTCTCCGGCTTAAAGGAAAATTCCAGCCCCACAGATCTTCCAGTGAGTGACAGCTCCTTAATGCGAGGAGCGGGCGTGGGCGTGGAGGGTGGGATGTGGAGGCCGTCAAAGCCGTCATTTCTGCCCCTTGGCAATGTGGGGGTTCCCTGTCACGCCTGCAGTCACATCGCAGCACGTTGACATGTGAGAGGAGACACGTGAGGCTGACAGCCCGCCACCCCTGCCCCCAACACGGGGTCAGGCGGGGTCCAGCACAGCCTGGTTACGCGACATTTATTCGTTGTCTAGGCAGGAGGTGTGGCTCCTCCGAGGCGCCGGGGAGCTGAGTCTGGTCAGGAGCAGGCATTGACATTTGGGGTGGGGATGGCCATCCTCTCCCTCGTCTCCAGAGGGAGGCCCGCTGGACAGAAGTGTGTGGCAGTTTGCAGCAGAAAGGCACGGGCTTCTCGCTCCCTGGAGAACTTGGGGAGCGAGTCACACTCTCTCCTGTCTATGATGGGCACAGTGGTTTTCTGATGGAGGCGAAACACAGAACTCGGTCTATGCATTTGTTTGGGCTGCCGTGACAAAGTACCTCAGGCTGGGTGGCTTAAACGACAGACATGTGTTTGCTTGCAGTTCCGGAGTCTGGGAAGTCTGAGGTCACGGTGCTGGCAGCGTCAGTTCTGTCTGCGGTGTGGCCTTACTCCTCGGCCTGCAGACGGCCGCTTTCTCCCTGTGTCCTCACATGGTCTCCCCGCCGTGTGTCTGTTTCCTCATTTCCTCTTCTTCCAAGGACACCAGTCACATTGGATCAGGAGCCATGCTAATGGCCTCATTTTAACTTCGTTACCTCTTTAAATAAAGACCCTGTTTCCAAACGTAGTCACCTTCAGAGGTCCTGGGGGTTAGGACTTCAACACAGGAATTTGAAGGGGACACAAGTCAGCCCGTACGAGAATTTCTCAGAGACAGCGCCACCAGCCAGTCCTATCATTTCCTTGTGGGGACTGGGGAGACTCCTCCAAGGAATTTACACGAGGGAAGCCCCAAGGAAAATTGACTGGCATCCCCATGGGCCCAACTCCCACAAAATGTTCTCAAGATCCACGTGATGTCCCCTCCTTTCTGGGAAGGGTGATGCACCTGCTAGAAAGAAATCTGACTCCCTCATTGTCTTTTTAAAATAACTCTCATTATTCTTCCTCTGAAGGTTATTTTCAAACTCTTTATAACTCGATTATTTTTCATACAGAGAGAAAGGATCAACCCCTGACTTTCCATCGGAGAAACCCGGGTTTCTAACTTTTAAGATGGGTTTCCATTTCTTCCCGAATATCTGGGCCCTCTGTTTACATGAAATGCTGCTGTTTCATCTAAAAATTATTTTAAAATAAATGTGGGATTTCATCTGGCAGGTAATGTGGGAAGGGGGCGGCTTGGGCCCTCATGTCCATAAATCAGGCACTTCTTGGAGTCGCATATAAATCCACGGCTTGCAGTTAGTTGAGAACTCCGGAAGGAGTGACTTTGCAGCCTGTGGCTCCTCGGTCCCCTGGCTATGTCCAGGAGGAGGGGGGCCCCTCCCAGCACCCCCACTTCCCTGCAGAGGATGTCTCTCTGCTGACCCAGTGGCCTGACACACTGCCAGGCCTTGCCATCGCAGAGACCAAGGTCTGCAGCTCTGCACGGAGCTGAAATGAATAGTTTCTGTTCCAGAGCAAGTCTGTGAGCTAAGAAAGGGTCGGTGCGGAGGAAGCCAGCCCGCAGTCAGTCTTGCACGGGGAGCCCCAGGCACTGCCCGGTCATCCGAGTCAGTCTTGCTGGCTGAGCCGCTGGCGCCGTGCCCGGAGTGACCTTGGAGAACTTGGGAAAGCTGTTCGTGATTGTTTCTGGAGATTGTGGTTCAACTGCAAACTCTGGTTCAGCAAATGATTGAAAGGAATCTCGGCACGCAGTGTCGCCTCTGGACATTGTCCCACACTCCTTCCCTCGCTGGGCAGGTGGGAGCCTTCCAGCTTCAGGAGCTGGCTGGCCGAGGGGGAGGGAGGGGGCAGGTCTAACTTGTTCTACTCAGGGCTCCCTTTCTTTGGGCTACAAGCACGTGCAAAGTGTAAAAGGACTTTATGACTATAAAGGGTGGTGCAGCATTAGAGAGTGTTATTTTATTAAATAGCAGGAGAGTAATGCTGATGTAACCACGTTAGTTAAATGGAGGGGAAGCAGGCAGACCAGTGAGCCCTTTTAGTTTAGGGAGTAGACAGGCCGGTCGGTTTTCAGGTGTGACCCTCCCTGAGGACATGTCCAGCTGTCCGCAGCTGCCCTGACTTCTGAAGAGGGAAACTTTGTCGTTGACTCTGAGTGGAAGAGCCTTTGCAGAGTTTTGAGCGGAGAGGTGACATGTTCTAAAATAACTGAAAGCCTTGCTCTGCCTGCTGAGAATAGACCGAGCGGTTGATGTGGCAAAGGTGAAACCCCACATTTCTTGCCCCAGACCAATGAATTTGAATGAATCTCCCCGGCTTCCCTCTACCGTGGCAACCTGAGTCACACTTCAGCCTTCTCCTCTCTGTCCAAGGCCACATTTCCAAGGCGCAGGCCGGCTCACGCAGCTCTTCGGAAGCAGCTGCTGGAACAACCCACTTCTGGGAGTGGCATTCGCGGTCCCCTGCGGTCTGGCCTCCGCCTGCGCCTCCAGCTCCTCCTCCCACTGTTTTCTGTCCCTCTGACGCCCTGGGCACAGTCTTCCTCCATGCCTCTGCTCTTACCTTCTGTCCAGAAAAATCCTTTTTCGTCAAGTCCTGTCTTCTCTCAAAAGCCTCTGTGGGACCTCCAAGCCAGAATGGCCATCTCCGGGTACTCACACTCAGGCAGGGCCTCTTTGTCTGTGGAACACCCGGTTCTGGTGGCATTGTAGTTGCTCGGGGCCACCTAGGTGGTAAGCTCCGTGTGTTCACCTTGGTGTCTTTTGATCCCTTAGTGCTGTGTAAAAAGGGCCTTGCGCGGCCTTCCAAATGGATCTGCTCAGCCAGATGTTTTGCTTCTGCCTTGCAGATTGAAGCGCTAGTGAAGGACATGCAGGACCCAGAGACGGGGGTCAGGGTGCAGAACCAGAAGATCCTGGTCACCAGTGTCCCTCACGCCATGACAGGTAATGGAGCCTTTCTTGTCCTGGCGACCACACACTGGAGCTGGCAAACTAGAGCTTGTGGGCCAAAGTCAGCCCGCAGCCTATATTTGTAAATAAAGTTTTATTGGAACACATCCATGTCCACACTTATGTATTGTCCTTGGCAGTTAAATAGCTGCGCACAGTGTCATGGTCCACATAACCGAACATGTTTACTCTCCGGCCTCGTGCGAAATCAGTTTGCTGACTGCTGGACTGCAGGTTCCTCCCGAAGAAGGGGTCAGAAGGGAAGGAGCAAAAGAGTCAATAGGTCACTTTTGTGAAGCCGTTCCTCCTAGGAGCTCATTCGAAGAACTTTTACTGTCAATTTTTTGTTCACTTGTTTTTGTGTTTAATAAAATCAGGTAGCAGGAAGTAGAAACTATTTGGCAGAACAACAACAAAAAAAAGGCCTTTATCCCACCCTCCTCTACCTTCTAATTTGTATTCAGACCTTTTCTAACTACCCCATGGGGATGGCACCCTGTGTCCTTTCTCACCCCACCTCTGGGTGGGGGCTGAAGGGGCTCAGAGCACCCTTAGAGGATATGGGCAGGGAGGGCTGGACCTCAAAACAAGAACTCATTTTGATAAACGTGCGGCATGTTTTACGATTCCGGGTTTGCAGTAAGGGGTGTGTTTCCCACGGAGGTGGGTGGGCTACAGAAGCAGACAGCTCCTCGCAGCACCAGCGGGGGCCTGTGCAGAGCTCCTGGTGAGCCCTCCCTCACTCTCTGCCCCACCCACAGCCCGGCCATTGCTTTTTCACTCAGGGTGCTCTCGTCTTTGCAGAGACGAGCTGCTAACAGTTCTTGATTCCCTCTCTGACTGCTTGGCAGAAGGGTTTCCCCACCAGCCACGGGTCACTCGGGGTTCCTTGAGCGCCAGCCGCAGAAAACCAATTTCTGCAAGTTGGAAGAAAAGCGGAATTAATTGAAATGCAGCAGGGTAGCTCCCACAAGACAAGGCAACTAATGAGCCAGACTCGGGAAAAGCGGGGAAGGGGGTAGCCTGGGTACCTCCGAGAGCAACGGCCATGGGCAGGCTTTTCAGGACGCCTCTGCTCTCCCCCAGCATTTAAGATGTATCTGTGGCAATTCTTCCTGAAGGCATTGCTGCCCCTCCCCTCCCTGTCCCTGGTTGTCACTAATTTGGGCCTGAATTCTCCACTAGATTTGGAAGCCCTCAAGGGGAGAAATCTCTTGCTCATCTGGGTAACCCCAGGGCTTAGCATAGCTGTGGGGTGGGGTAGAGATTTAATAAGTTTACTGAAGGTGTGAACCAGTCCTGGTCAGGCTCTGGATGTGGAGCCAGTCTCCCTAGGATTAACTCTTCTGGGTGTCTTTTTCTAGCTGTGTAGCTCTGACCACAATGCTCTCGTTTTAGACACAGGAATAGCAGTCCCCGTCTGACAGAATGACTGCAGGAATGAAACCAGATAGTACTGGGCATGTGGTCAGCACGCAGCTGACACTCCAAGGGTGGCAACAGCTCACAGTTTCCCACACTGCCTCAGTTAATACCTATGTTAAAAGTTAGTCCCCCTTCTTTTGCAGACGGGGCCATGGTGACGCAGAGGTTCAGGGACTTGTCCCCAGGCCACTTGTAGGTGGTGAGCCTGGACTGGAGCCCTGTTATGGGACTCTAGCAGCCATGCTCTTAGTACTGGTCAGTGTGCACAAACTGCTTTCTTTCCCTGCACACGGGGTGCCCTTGGTTCCTGGGTGAGGCTGCCCACCCTGCTGTGTGTTCCCTTGTTCCTCCTGCTGGTGAGTCCTAGCCTTATCTTGCAGCTGCGAGTCAGCACTCATGCAAGCAAGTTGGGTATTGCCATCCGTCTCCTCGGATGGCAGGTGACCCAGGGCTTCTGGGCATGAAGGTGGCTGTTGTAGGAGCCTGCACAGACCACGTGGTACAGGCGCCAGAGGCCTCCTAATCTCATTTGACTGATTTCAGGAAGCAGTCCAGTGGATGAGAAAACCCTCGGCTCCTTGGGGGACAGCGCTAACCAGTCTACCGTCTGCCTGGGCCTCTCTCTCTGCCCGCACACCCCTGTGTAGGATTCAGTGAGACTGGGGCTAGAAAGTCTAAACATCCAGTCCTGGGATTTTTTAACTAGGATTTTAGGTGACGTTTGCTTTTGAACAGCCAGGCAAGGGTGGGTAAAGCTGAGAGTAACGGAGGAGAACCCAGTGAAAGCGTGAATGGTGGGCGCGTGGGCACCGACAGAGGTAATGTCCGGACATTGGACAGGAAGGGAAGGTCCTAGGTGGCCCCCCTCGGCCATGCTGTGGGCAGGTAATGAACCCCAGAGAGTGTGTGAGTGGACCACAAGGGCCCTTCCTGGAGGGCAGCGAAGGCCATGCCCCTTCACCATCTCCGAGGAGGGAATTCTCATTTGCAACAGTGCAGCCACGGGGACAGAGGCTGTGGGGCCTCAGGCCCTGATCCTCCCTCCTGGCGTATTTTGTGGGCTGGTTGCCACACAGGCAGGGGGACCGGTGCCGCCTTTGGAAAGCAGGCTGAAGTTGCTGGAAGGGAGGTCTTTGGCGTTTGCAGGATGGTGTCTGCAGCGGGGTGCTTGGTATCCAGACGTCTTGTTCTTCTGAGAAGATGCTGCCCTCCTCCTACAAGAAGCATGTTCTGCGTGTGGGGCCAGAGGCTCCAGATCACGATGGCCCCGAATTGCAGGCTGCAGGGTCTGGACTGAACTTAGTGGGGCTGGTGGTGGAGGAGAGTCCCTGAGCATTTTGAGCAGAAGAGGAACGAGATCACAGCCGAGCAGGGAGGAGGCCCATTGGGCAAAACACACACAGCGTGGGGTTCGGCGGGTGTGTTAGGAGGCTCTGGTGATGGACGGCCACACTTCTGTTCTGCAGGAAGTGATGTTCTACAGTGGATCATCCAGCGGCTTTGGATCTCCAACCTGGGTGAGCAGGCCTCTGGCACTCAGTTACCGTGGACTGTGGTGTGGGCAGTACGCAGGAATCTCTGGAGGGCAGGCCGTAGAGAGAGGCTTAGGCAGGGGCCTGAGAAATTGACATTTTAATGGAAGAGACAAGGCCTTCAAGTGTAAAACAATCAGAGCATGTAAATATGAGGGGTGATTGGGGAGGAGCGAGTGAAGAAAGACTTCTTGGAGGGGGTGATGTGTACCCATGCCTGGTCTTAAAAGAAGCGATGCTTGTGAATTGTGGTTGGGGGGAGCCTGGAGGGTGTGGCTACCCAGAAGGGAAAACTAGCAAGAGCAATGGCAGAGAAGTGGGATGAACAAGGAGTGGACTGGCACCGAGGGGAAATTGGGTATGAGGGCAGTGGAGGGAGGGGAGTGCCTATTTGTGGACTCCACATTCGATCTGGGAGCTAGGCAATAGGGAGCCATGGGGGAGTTTTGAGCACGGTGGTATACACGAAAGTCCCATTTAAGGTAGGCTGTTTGGCAGAAGTTTGAATAGTGGAATGGAGCAGAAACATCTGGGGACCTGACTTCCCACTAGAAAAGGCTGGTTGCACCAGACATAGGAAATGAGGGTCTGTGATGGAGGGAGGGCTGGGGAGAACCTCTTCCTGAGGCTTGGAGGCAGAGCTGGGGGGGCATGCGGGCTGGGTCCTTGGGCAGGGCGGGCCTGGAGGACTGGAGGGCTCTCTCCATGATGGAAAGACACCTGCTTTCCTTGGTGCCTCTAAGAAAGAGCCAGGATACTTTCCCTTTAATTGATGCAAATTCAGTAACAAGATTAGGTTTCCAAGCAAACTGGAGGGGGTGGGTGGGGAGCAGCCAGAGCATCTGGACCAGGCATGCAGGCAGAGTCCAGCTGGGGAGAGAGGTTGACTGTAAACGCAGCCCCCTTTCCCAGGGAGTGAGGAAGTGCTGGTCAAACAGAAACATCCTCTCCCTTCTCCTGGGCACTTCACCAGACCCAAAGTGCCTAAAGGAGCTTCTCCAGGATGTCCCCAACTGTCACCCCTAAACACCTGCAGTGCACTAACTTTAGGGGTTCACTGGCTCCCCTCCAGACTACTGAGTCATCGTTCCTGGGGGTTGGCTGGGGGATCCTCCTATTAGTATGCTCCCCAGCTGGTACTTGCCCACAGCCAAGTTCAGGAACCACTGTTCTCACTCTTTATGGAAGTGCCGTTAGGATGGGGACTTCTCTTCTGGAGTTTGGGGTGCTGTGTGTGGGCCAGGTAATGGGCTTTGCCTTCGCACCCCCCCCCCCCGCCCTGCTCTTAATTTCCATGTTTCAACTGCTTCTCCCCAGAGGCCCAGAACTTGGGCAACTTCATTGTCAAGTATGGTTACATCTACCCCCTGCAAGACCCCAAGAATCTCATTCTCAAGCCCGATGGCAGCCTCTACCGATTTCAAGTGAGTCTTGACCTGGACTTTGGGTATTAATATGGGACCAATCTTATCTGAAAAGAGAGTTGCTTAGCTTTATATCCTCACAGATCAGGATTTCAGAAATAGTGGAGGGAGCTGAGGAAGTCTTCTCTCTTAAGCCACGCGGCTGGGGGCTCACTGGGTCCCAGCCCACTGTCTGAGCGAGGTTTCTTGGTTTCTTTCGTAGACGCCGTACTTCTGGCCGACCCAGCAGTGGCCAGCGGAAGACACAGACTATGGTAACCACCCTCCCCCTCGTGCCTTTGGTACTGCTTAACATGCTGCTTATGTACCTGCTGCATTTGGTGGTGTTTGTCCTGCTGTCATCATGACCTTTCTGTCAGTTCATGTCTGTGCTGGGAGTGGTCCTGAGGGAAGAGAGTGGGTCTGCCGAGTGTCCTCTCCACCAGGCCGAGCACGGCAGCCTCTCTCCCACAAAGGCTGCGGATGCCGTTTTGAAATATGATGATGGAAATGTGTTGTTTTCTTCTCCAGCCATCTATCTAACCAAGCGGAATATCAAGAAGAAAGGGATTTTAGAAGAACACGAAAAGGTATGGAGATGCTTTCAAGTAACGATTATTATAATTGGATAGAATATAGTCTTGAGCTGTTTCTCCCTTGTTCCTCCACTGCTACATTCACATCCTCACTTATCCACCCCTCCATCCATCATTCGTCTACCATTTGCCCATCGTCCGTGCATGCATGCAAGCATCCATTCATCATCCACCTGCCTATCCATTTGTCCACCCATTATCCATCCACCCATCCATCTGGTATCCATCTGTCTGTCTATCCATCTATTCATCCATCTATGCATCCATCACCTGTCCCTTAGCCATCCATATATTCAGAAGCAGCTCCCTGAGGTAAATTCTTCCCAATGCTGAGCTTCCATTTCTCCTGCTATAATTTAAGCCCTTGCTGTCCCCAAACAATATGACTTAATTAATACATATGATAATGCATATTATTTGGTGAGCAGATTTGAATTTGAGTTTGTGATGGGAAAACAATAGTATAGACTTTTATGGTAGTCTAGATGAGTCAGATTTCTCAAAGGACCCTCAGAAGGCTAGATTTCTGGGCAGATGGCAACAATTCCTCTGGGTCTTATTCTTCACAAACCTGTTTTTAGTGGGGCCAGCGTCACAGCCATGTTAGCTCTCATCTATGTGGGTTTCTGAAGCTCTCTTCTGGAAAACTGAGCTTCCATGTTCCTCCCCACACCATTCTCCTCTTCCTAATCAGATGTGGGCACATGTATCTACAAAAGGCTTTTTCAGAGTTTGGTGCTCCCTCTTGAATAAACAAACCCCTTTGCAGGGCTGGGGTGAGGGCCCTCGGCTGGTCCTACTCACTACAGAGCCAGGGTCACGCCCTCAAGACTGGGGGGCTTTCTGACCACTGCACATGGCCTGTCACCGACTCAGTGTTCTCACTTTGTTTTCCTTCCCTAGGAAAATTACAATTTCTTGAACAAAAAAATTAACTACAAGTGGGACTTCGTCATTATGCAGGCCAAAGAACAGTACAGGTGAGTGAAAGGTCCTACTTATCTTCCGGCTGTCCTCTTCCCCCCCTTCCTCGTTTCTCTTTGCCAAAATAAACCTTTAGGGGGAATTTATGTGTCAAACATTGGGCTGGGCACAGGGAATATAAAGCCACCGTCTGGTGAGTCAGGCAGATGACCGTGATGCGGCAGTGAGATGACAGCCACAGGCAGGCGTTTGCAGAAGCAGCTGTAGAAACAACGCTGCCCAGGTGAAGGATGGTGACGGTGGATGGAGCAGTGAGGTGGGAGAAACCGTGTTCTCAGCAGACAGAACCGGAACCAGTACCAGAGTCTGGAGGCAGAAAGTGCCCACTTGAAGCGGTTTCTAATAATAGCAGGAGTGGAGGATGCAAAGTTCGGAACTGGTGGACGTGAGGCTGGAGATGCAGATCAGGAGAGCGTTTTGTGCTAAGGGCCCCGGGGAGCCAGAGAAAGGTGTTCGGCAGGGGAGGTATGCAACCAGATTCACACGTTTGCAGTACCCATGCCGCTCTCACTGGCCTGCTGTCCACATCAGAAATGGCGCTGACACCCCTGGAGGGCCTTGTCTTGTCCAGGAGAGCCAGATGTTAATGCTGGGGAGGGTGTGTTGTCAGTCAGGTTAGGATCTCGTAACAAACAGCACCCACATCTCAGGCGTAGAAAAACATAGCATTTACTCCTTACTTGTGTTACATGTCCATTGTGGGCCAACTGGGGCCACACATGCTCTGTGCCCACTCCAGGACGTGTGTTAAAGGAGCAGCACCCTCTGGGCTTTGCCTGTTCCCAGAGCAGTGGGGGAGGGAGGCTGTGTGGGTCACAGGTGGTGTCTGTCATTTTCTGCTCACAGTTCATTTGCCAAAGCTGGTCATGTGGTTTGGCCCAACCTCAAAGGAGGATGGGCGGGATGTCCCACATGGCTGTATGCCTGGGATGTGGGACAGTCGGCAATAGCTGGGGACTGATACCACTGATCAGCAAGATGGCACAGCCTCCTGCACCCCAGCTGGGCCAGATCCAGGCAGGTCTAGACCCGTGGGTGTGTGACTGGGCTGGACGGTGGGGACCCCATTCTCATGAAGCAGCCTTGGAACCAGAGTGGTGGTGAATCAGTCAGGATTCTCTGGGAAAAGAGATCCAACAGCAGATAAATATAAACAGATTTACTATTAGGAATTAGCTCACACAGTTATGGAGGGTTAAGTCCCATGATGTGCGGTCGGCAGGCTGGAGACCCGGGAGAGCCGGTGGTGTACACGTCCGTCTGAAAGCTGGTGGGCCAGAGGCCCAGGACAAGCTGGGCCGGGACACGACCATTCAGCCCACAGCAGCCTGTTTGGGTCACCGGGGCACCCCCAGGGCTTGGAACATAGTGGGAGATCAATAAGTACACGAGTGAACAAATGAATGAATAATTGACCAAGTGATACAGTTGCTAAAAAAAACCATAATAGGACAAACTAAAATAATTCCTCGTTTACTGACTCTCTTGGGTCCCATTTATCACTTCAGTCCTCCAGTAGCATCCATCCGTCAGGGACGAGCAGAAGAGCAAAGCCAGGGAGGACCACAGGGGTACATTAGCAATGGACTCTATTTACGAGGCTGCCTGGCATTATGAAAACTCCACAGGGCCGCAGGCTCCTGAGGACACAGGGTAGTTAACCTGGTGGAAAATTGAGTTGGGTTGGCAGAGGGAAGCTGAAAGGACAGTGTTTATATTTAATTTCCTGGGGAGGTTGGCACAACAGCCCACCGGAATGGCCCTCCCCATGCATCTGGGTCTCTGGATGTCGTTATGTTACTCCCGAGACATTAGCTGGCATATAAATCTTCTGCCTCTGTCTTGGGCAGGGCACGTGCGTCATCCCACGTTGCCTGGGAGAACAAGCATTACCGCGTGTGCACGCGGGTCGCCGCGGAGATGGTGCTGAAAGCAGCTGGGGCGCGATAAGGAACGTCGCCCGGCTCCTGCGGGAGCAAAGCCTGCGAACGTTTTCTATCCACAATGGGGTAGAGCGAGGCCGAGAGATAAGAGGGAAAATAAATAGCCTTTTGTGGGAATAAGTTGGGCTCAGAAAAGCCCTGACTTGGCACAAGCTCCTTGAAGTGACAGAGTGGAACTGACAGGTGGGGGGGAACGAACACGCCCCGAGGCCAGCATTTCCCCGCCCCCACCTCGTGGGGCGCTGGCACTGCTGGCTGCCTGCTGGTCCACATGCTGGCCGTGCCGCTTACAGAAGCAGGGAGAGCGGAGACGGCAGGCGGTCCAGCGTCAGCCCGCAGCGCCATGCACACCCGCTCCGGTGGTGAAGGTGGTGGAGTTGATACGCATCTAGGCCTCCTCGTGGGCGTGGTTGCGGCCCAGCTCGGTGATGCAGGCGGAGCCGGACTCTGTCCAGGACCAGAATCCTGATTCAAGTCCCACTCCTGCCACTGGCTGACAGTGTGACCCCGGACAGGACATGCTACTTCTCTTTGCTTTAGTTCCCTGAACTGCGAAGTGAGAGGAGGCCACTGAGAGGATCCAGTGAGTTTAGACACGGGCCAGTGTTTAGCAGGGAGCCGGGCACACCAGGGTCCCGCCAGCGTCTGCTGTTTTCATGATCATTATGGCAAAGCCAGATGAGGCGGCAGATGGGGAGCGTGGTGTGGGTCACCAGGAGTGGGGTCCCTCACTGGGCAAAAGATGCCAAATCTTTCTGGCTTTAAACCTGGCTTTTAGAAGAACAAAATCTTACCATTTGCAACAGCATGGATGGATGGACATAGAGGGTATCATGCTAAGTGAAGCGAGTCAGTCAGAGAAAGACAAAGGCCATGTGATTTTGTTTATATGTGGAATCAAAGACTGGTATAAATGAACAAACAAAACAGAAACAGATTCATGGATACCGAGAACACACTGAGGGGTGCCAGTGGGGACGAGGAATTGGGGGGCGGGGTGAAAAAGGTGAAGGGATGGAGAAGTGCAGATTGGTAGCTACAGACTCACTTGGATCCCATTTATGACTTCATTGCCATTTGCAACAGCAGAGAGCCCCTGGTACGGAACAGTCATGGAGATGTGGAGCACAGCACGAGGGGTACAGTTAACAAGTGTCATAATGACGCACGGTGCCAGGTGGGCACTGGAAATGTGAGGGGGATGCTTTGTAAAGTCTATTCTTCTGTAACCTCCATACTGTACACCTGACACTAGTACAAAATAATATTGAATGCAAACGGTAATTGAAAAAATTAACTATTAATAACCTGAAGAAAAAAAACACGGCTTTTGGCTTTTCAGGACTGGAAAGGAAAGGAACAAAGCGGACAGGTACGCCCTGGATTGCCAGGAGAAGGCGTACTGGCTGGTGCACCGGTGCCCTGTGAGTATTCCTCCCGGTCTCCACCCCCCCCTGCTGCTGTCTCATCTCCCTCCGGGGCCGGACCTCCCCGGGGCTGGGCTAGCGTCCGGTGCCTCTCGGCCGGAAGAGGAAAGACACTCCCCAGACAGGCTGTTCTCGTGGTCCATGTGGTGGTGTTGGGACTACCTGACATTTCTGAAGCCAGAGACCTGCAGGAGTTTGTCTTTTAAAAGGGGTAGGCTCCCTTGCTTTTTTTTTTTTTTGCCAGGATGCCTTGGAAAAGAAATATAAGAAGAAAAACTAGAGCCTAGGCTCCAAAGTACCAAAATAAAACGCTGCGGAGAACTGGCGCTCTGCACAGGCACAGCCTTGCCTCATGCCCCTGGCTCCCTCACTTTTCCCCAGCACCCGGGACTGGATGGGGTGAGGGGAGAAGTGCGTGCTCAGCCTTCGTGCTTAGAGCACATGGCCTCTCTGGTGGTGGGACTTTAAACAGCCCAGAGATGCCAGCTGCACATAAGCAATGTCACTGTCACAGCTCCTCCCTGGGAAATGGTAGCCTCGTTCCTTAGCACAAAGAAGCAGCTGTCACTGTTATCCCTGGGGTTAACTCTGCTGCCTCAGTTTACCCCGAGTCAGGCCCATGTGCTGCCTATGGATCATGGGAGGCGGAAGATGTGAAAGGCCTTCTGAAAAGTGAGGAGTTCAAAACCAGTGCGCTCGCTCTTCCTCCTTTAGTTGTCTTGCTTGCCAGGTGACCAGGTTCTCAGAGCCAGAGAGAGAACTGGGTCCATCATGGTGTCAAAGCCTCTGGATTTTTGAATGCAGGCCTATCAGATTTTGGCTGTTCCCCCCCCCCCTACTCAAATACCCTGTAGCATTGGTTCAGGTGACTTGTTGCTGAGGGTAAGGCCCTGAGGTTGCTCTTCAGGAAGCTTGCTTTTGTCTGTGCTCCTCCTCTGTGTAAACCAGTTGCCCGCTGCCCAACATGGGTGCCTGGGGGCTGGTGAGGGAGTGGATGACTGAGCTCAGTGTCCCGGAGAAACAGCCAACCACCTGCCTCTGCATTGGAGCTTGAGAGTGAGCTTTTTGCATGAGAAGGGAACCAAGCCTAGTTCAGCCTGCATTCACACATCTGTTCCTAAAGGGGGCGCCTTGGTGAGGGTTAGGGAGAATGGCAGAAAAGCCACCCATTTGGCAAGATGCCCTGGTGCCCAGTGGCACGGTGAGCAGGAGGATCCTGCTCCTTGCAGGGTGGAGCATGGCTTCCACGTTACGTGTGAGGCTCCGTGGTGTGAGAATGCCAGTGCGGCTGGGCCCCGTGCAAAGCAACGTCGGCTGGCTGTGCACGTGATCTGCCCTGGGGCCCGTGCCTCCCCTCCGCCCCTGAGCCCAGGAGGCCTCGGGGCAACAACATGAAAACCAGATTGTCTGAGTTCTTCCCAGTTCTCTTGGGGTAAGCGCTCAGCCCCCACACTGGGCAAATGGCTGAGTGGTTCTTCAGAGTATGATTCAGAAGTACCTACATTTGACAGTGTGTCTGCGTGATGACTGCTTTCACCATTACCTCACACACCGCCACCAGCTCCTGCATCACCCCCGCTTTCTTCACCACCATCACCACCATTGACATCGTCGCTATCATCATCATCACCGCGGACCTGAATGGAGAACTTTCAGTGTGCCGGGCACTGCCCTAAGCATCATTCCACAGTCACTGTCTTATCTCATCTTTGCGGCCGTGGGTGGGAGGCAAGGTTATTAGTCTCATTTTGCTGACAAGGAAGATGAAGCCGGGGATGCTGCTAATTGGCCAAAGTCACAGGGCTGCTGAGTACCAGGGGCTCTGAATCCACAGGCTGTTCAGCCTTTCTCTCTTAGTCCCTATATTCTCTTGCCTCCCACGACAATGTCCCAGTGCATGGAAGACCTTTTTGTAACCTCCTTGGTCATTAGAACATTGCACAAGTCGCTGCTGCTCTAACCACCGTGCTGCCAGGGTTCAAAGGCGCCCGGTTCCTCTTTGATAGCATTGGGGAGCCAAGTTCAGAATGAGGCTTTGATGTGCTCGGAGCGGTTGTAAAAAAATTCCTCGGATGCAAAACTCTTCACATCCAATCTCTCTCACTGCTGCTCCCAGAAGTCGAGACCGGACCAGTCGTCAAAGATGAGGCCAGAGGGCAGCCGGGTCCTGCTCTCCTCCACTTTCTTAAAACATCCGCAGCCTCTGAAAGCACTGGGGTTAGGGACGTGTTCCGTTTGAAGAGTGTCTGGTTTGAAGTCTGTCTCGGCCTACAAACTGAGCAAACCCAGGAAGACTGGGAGCTTAGGGACTGTGAGGCTGTCTCCTAGAGACCCAAACAAACTCGGTTCACTGGGAAAAAAGCCAGCCAGGCAGACAGAGCATGTGGCTCTGTGGCGTGTACAGCAGCCAGCGTGAGGGCCGACGAACCCACCGTTGTTGCGGGTGGACCCCAGCCTGCGGTTCCTGAGTCAATGCGTTCACCTGTTTGCTGGTCTGTCCACTAATCCCTGCAGAATTCCTGGGGCCCTGACTGTGCCTGCTAAGCAGCTAGGTGCTGGGCGTAAAAGGGCAGCTAGAAGTCAGCGAGTGCCTGCCACGTGCCTGTGCTGAGCTCCCGGCGTGCGGGTGGTCCTATTTACCTGAGGGTGGCACTGTGGAGCAGGGAGCAGCAGCGCCCCCATCACCCTCCTGGGGAGAGCCAGGCTCAGAGAGGTTCGGTAGTTAGCACCCGTGCATGTGTACCCTACAGAAAGCCAGCCCAGCTGGCTGTGAGAGGCAGGGGTCTTGTGTCAGATGGTGGGGGCGGTCTGGGAGCACCTCTTTGTGGAAGTGACGTTCAAACCAAGATCTGGCAGCCGCGGACTTCTCTGGCCCTTCCATCCAAACGTGTCTCCCACTTTCAGCCTCCTCTCTAGCTCCATCCTTTGTTTATAAAAGTATTGGGGATTTTACTTATTTGTTTCCTGTCTCAGGCACCCAGAGGGTCTGAACTGATATGTTAGGGAAGAGGGTGATGAGGAGTGGAGAGGAGAGGAGAGCAAGAGAAGGGACAGGAGGGACACGGGGGGCTGTCAGCAAGGAGTGGACATCAGCTCCCTCCCGGCCCTGCTCTGGAATGCTGGTTCTGGGCATGTCGCCTCCTCGGCACGGAGGCCCTTTCCTAACCTAACCTGAGTTATGAAGCGCATTGCCTCTTTGGCTTATGCCCAAGGGGTGTGGTCACAGCCTGGTGTTCATAGTTCCTCTGGTTGCAGGGGGAGGCTTGGCTGCCCCAGGAGGGCTTCCTGTGTGTGGCTCCAGGGCTCCAGGCACCTGCGTGTCTCCTTATCTGCTGGCAGCCCACCACGAGGGTGCCTGCTGCCCTCGTTTCCTGTGTGCTGACAGTCAGCTCTGGGTTATCGCCATTCAAGCATCTCCTTGCGTGCCAGGAACTATGTCAGCTGTGGCTCTGGTGACTATCACGGGGAACAGACATCATGCTGCCTGATGACTGCATGCGTGCATGAATGAATGAATGAGTGAGTGAATGAATGCAGCCTGGGGGTTTCCCAAACCAGCTGAAGCAGAAAGCTGCCCCCTGGGGAGTTTTGGAGGCAGGGCACTGGGATGGGACCACAGCTCTATAGGAACAGCTGAGACTTGCTCAAAGGCCGAGAGGAGGCAGAAGCCTGGGGGCGGGGCAGCCAGAGGAGTGAACCTGGCCCTTCAGTAGAGCTGGAGAGAGCCAGGAGGGCCGGCACTGGCCAGGCTGCAGAATCATGGAGCCCGGTGGTGGCTACGGCTCTGAGTCCCAGCTGTCTGGTCTGGGCAGCCCTGTGCCGATGATGGTTGTCCCGGTGCACCACTGAGCACTGAGGGGGCTGAATTTATATCAAAGTATGGGTCAAGTTCAAGGGAGAGGGTTGGGGAACTAATTCAGGCCTCGAGGAGAGAACTGCACTGGTGCTGTGGAACAGCAGCCAACCGGTGCCTGTAGGGGCACTGTGGGCACAGGCTGCGAGCGTGTCAGCCTGCCGGGTGTGCATGCATGTGCGTGCGAGTGCAAGTGTGTGGCTGCAAGAGTGAGTGCATGCTTGTGTGAGTGTGTAAGCATGAGGGTGTGTGCGTGTGAGTACGTGAGTGGATCTGAGTGTGAGAGTGTGTGTGTATAAATGTGACTGCGTGTGAGAGTGAATGCATGTGTGTGAGATGTGAAAGTTGTGAGTGTGAGTGTATGTGTGAAGGCTGTCTTCAGTTCAGCTGGGGAGTTTCTTGTACCAGACCCAGGGGGCCAGTCCTAGAACTCTCTGCAGGCAAAGGCAGTGAGTAATGAGCCTGGATGACCACACGCCCCACCCTGCCACCCCCCTGCTGGGCTAGAACCCGCCGGAGGCCGGCGTGGACTCCTGTATTGTCACTCATACCACTGGTCACACTGTGTGATTAACTGCTGAGTGGCTGCCTCCTGCACGAGACCTGCTGGGGTGTGGAGTCGGGGGTCTCCGTCACACCACGGCTCCCCGGGGCCGAGCGTGACGCTGGTAGGTTTCCTGACTGCAGTGCACATGAACAGCTAGCGTGAGGACGGCCGTCCCCTCTCCCCGAGCTCCCCCCGCCCACTTTCTGTTCCTTCCTTTTCTCTCCTCCTTGCCTAGGTCGTCTGCCGGGTATTTGCCCCCGTGGTAGTTTGCCGAGTAAAGTTGCCAGATTTAGCAAATAAAATACAGGATGCCCCGCTAAATTTGAATCTCAGATAAACAGCAAATGATGTCTGTCCCCACATTTTGATACTTGTTCTATATTTATACTAAAAACATATGTGATATACTTTTATGTAAAATTATAGAATCAAAACATTTGTTGTTTATTCTGAAATTCCAACTGACCTGCGCATTGTCTATTGTATTTGGCAACCGTACTTCTGAGCTGAAACTGTGACTGAACCTACTGATGAGGCTGAATCTGATGGGGAGAAAGCGCAGCTGCTTCCTGCCTCTGCTCCAGTTAGTCCGCCTGGTTCGTCACCTGAGAACTTGGTGGGTGCTTGCTACCAAAGCAGCCCGGGGGGAAGTGCAAGGCCAAACTGCTGGCCTAACAGAGTTGAGAGGGGGCAAGCAGGACTGGCTGGAGAGTTGGTGGCCTGACGGAGTCCGAGACCCGGCTTTGGGCCAGGCCTCTGTTTGCAAACACAGCCTGAGAATGAGCACGATCCCTCACTCAGTAATGGCTACCCTCTGTTGAGAACCTCACACTCTGCCTTGTTAAGGCCTCACGAGAACCCATCAGGTAGGAGGATCTCCATTTCTCAGAAGAGACAGAGTGTGCAGAGAGGAGAAGTAATTTCCAAGACCTGCCTCGTAGCTGGGAAGTGTCAGGACGAGGATTGGGTCCCAGGGGTGCCTGGCTGACACTTGGACTCTCCAAAGCCCTGCAGGGTGGGGAAGGAGCACAGGAGGAGTCGGGAGTCCCATGTGTTCATCCTACTAAACTCTTACTGAATTTCAGTGTTATTTATACATCAGTTCATCCATCCGTCCACCCTCCTACCCATCCATCCATCCCTCACCCACCTACCTGCCCATCCATCCCTTCATCCATGCACCCACCCATCCCACTGGGTCAGGTTCTGGGGATGCAGTGGTGGGACAGCCCCATGAAGCCCACCTGCCCACCCAGAGGGTCGTACACACCCTCATAGCACCTGCGGGTTAGGCCACAGCCTTTCTCAGCTCAGTTTCACAGTTGGCAGTTTGGCTAAGAGCCTAGGTTAATTAAAAACTGGAGACTCTCCCAGCAGTGGTCCTTACGTTATTTTTATCCCATTCAGCCAGGAATGAACAATGTGCTGGACTATGGCCTGGACCGAGTGACCAATCCGAATGAAGTTCAGGTAAACCAGGTAGGTCTCCATGGCATCCTCTGGGCAGGGCCTAGGTCATGGTTTAGGCTGGGAAGATGTTCCCCTGTCTTTTGTCTGGCTATGTCTGTTGGGGCAATAGTACCTGCCCTTTGAGATTGCTTCAGAGAGGAGACGTACGCTGCGTGATATCAGTTTTGGGGACAGGGAGCCCATGGCCAGGGCCCTGCATAAAGACAGATAAGAGATCTGGGTGCAGGTCAAAGCAGATGGAATCTACATGGGTGGTTGTCAGACTTTTCTGAGTCAGTTTCCCCCTTTGAAAATCTAGTGAGAGTTATGAAACATTCCGCCCAAAGATGCGCAGACAGACAATTTGCATACGATCCCAGCCAGTTCCCTGGCTCCCTGGGCCCCAGGCTTAAAACCCTCCCGTCCACTTGGGGTTCAACTTGCTTCCACGGGACAGGACCTGGAATGCCATGCTTTCTTTTGCATCCCAAGAGGGTAGGAATCTTTGCAAAGATTCTCCCAGGCTTTTGTTTTAAAAGGACCGTGTCCCCAAACACAGCTACTGTTCGCGATGGGTGGCCAAGTTCCTGTGATGGTTTCCTATTGAGAGCAACGCAGTTCACAAGCTGCTGAGACAGTGAGTGTGCCCGTTAGGGCCTCTGGTCCTGGCACTACTGTTTTGGGCTTCCCTGCACAGCGCAGGGTGTTTGGTGGCATCTTGGTCTCTACCCACTGGGTGCCAGTAACATCGTGCCTTTCCCTGCTCACCTCCCGGTACCGACAATAAAAAATGTCTCCAGACTTTGTCCCATGTACCCTGGGGCACAAAATTGCTCTGGTTGAGAACCACTGATCCCACTGCACCAGCCTAAGCCCCTTTTCAGCCTTAGATGGTTTTGTTGGTGTCTGCCTAACGCTGACTTTGGGCAGCAAGGGGTCAGTGACCTCTTTGGCTTAGTGGGGCGTCTTGAAGCTTTGGCAATGCCTTAAGGCCTGGGTGGGAGCCAGGAAGGATGCATCTGAGAAGGAGGGGGAAGGAAGTTAATGGGCAAAGAGAAAAGAAAAAGGTGGCCATGAGGCAGCTCCGTGACAGGTATACTTTTGCCCTCTGGGACCCAGGCTTCACGGTGGCTGTGGGGACACCCCACCAGTGAGTGAGACAGGTGCCCAGGTGTAGGGATGGAGTCTATCTGAAGAGAGACTTTGCATCCCCAGAGGATGTGAGCTGGCGGGGGCGATGGGGGCATTGCTAAGTCCCTTACCCACAACTCCAAGTGACCCCTCCTTGGATACACATACGGCACTGTCAGCCTTCAGCAGCCTTTTCCATGTTTCCCCTGTTAGATGACAGATAATTGCTGAGGCTTTGTTGCTTGGTTGCCATGGAAACAGCCATCAAGGCAAATAACTGAACCTGGCTGGAAGATTTTTTTTTTTAAATGGGTAACTGACAGCTCTGGAAGCCTCCACCACGTGGATGGAGGAGGGGAGGGCAGCGGTGGGAAGCACAGCACCGGCGGCCCTGAGGAGAGGGTGCCTTCTGGCTTTCAAACCCATTTCCTGCTGGATGCAGGCGATTCCATGGGCCCGGAGCCGGAGTGTGTCTGTGTCCACCGTGCTGCTGTTCTGCAGGGGCCTGCTTTTCCCTTTGTTTACCATTGTCTTCTCTGTCTCTCTCTCTCTTCCACCAGCTCCCCTGCTCCTGTCTGCCCTCTGGCTGCCGTGCAGCATTAAGAAGAATTAAGCACCGTAACTCTCCTGCAGGCGGGGGCTCCCCCCCCCCCCGCCCCGCAACCTGTCCCCTCAGCCAGCCCCAGCGAGTGTTAGGGAGACAGAGGCTGCCGCCGTGCTGTTGGGTCTTGCCTGTTTGCTACATTTCCCCAGCCTGACTCAGTGTCCCCTGTTTTTCCGGGTTCGTCTGCCCTGAGAGGAGGGTGTGCCGGGACCGTGACGTGTCCCCATGAGGCCCTGGGAGAGTGGAGGTTTCAGATTTGTGTTTCCTCTCAGAGAAGAACCCATGGTGCGGGTTTGAAGAGAGAGGCCACTGCAGAGCATTAGTCAGTTCTTGGAAACATACTCATTTTCCTTAAATGGAGGCAGATAACCCCACAGAGATAAACACCATCGAGTGTAAGAGAGAAGGCTGCTGGGTTGGCAGGTGTCTAGAGTGAGCCACCTCATGGCTGCTGGTCAGCATGGCTGCCCAGCCCTGGGAGGAACGAACTGGCCAGGGGCCAGGGCCACAGGCAGAGAGGGCGCCCTCTCTCAGGCCTGATACCTCGAGGCTTTCTGGTGTGCCAAGTATGCACAACCCCCAGTTTCTCCTATTTCAGAAAGAATTTGGTTCTGCAGTGAGAGACTGAGGGTCAGCGGGGCAGGGATGTGCCCCAGGCTGGCCCTTCCTCCCCTGACCCCGACCGGGTACCGTGGTCACTTAGTGACGTGGGTGCTTAGTGACGAGGGCCAGGGCAGTGTGAAGATAGCTTTGACTTTGGGAATGAGCCCCACCCAGCTCTGCCGGTCCCTGGCTATGTGATCTTGGACCTGTTCCCACGCCGTTCAAAGCCTCAGTTTCCTCATCTATAAGATGGGCATAACAATAGCTCCTTCCGCAGAGGATTACACGAGGCATTTACACTGACGTGCCTGGGAGGGTACCCAACATGCAGAGACTCCCCGTAGACACAGGCTGTTGCTGTAGGAGTGCTGTGCTGTGAGAGACACAATTCACGGAGCCCTGCAGCCCCCAGGCCCTGTTTTTCGGGCTGTCTCCTCCTCTGTCCTTACACCTTCTCATACTTCTGCCCCCGTTGGAGGTGGAACAGGGCAGGGACACACACATTTCAACTTCCTTCCCTCCTCTGATAAATGGTTGCTGGGAGCGGCAGTTTACCAGGACGTGCACACTGGTGTTTGGGTAAGAGGTGGGGCTCTGCTCCATAGTGTTAATGCTGTGTTCTGCAGAACCTTCGGCCTGGAGCCCCCCGTGAGGGACAGCCCCCATACGCTCCCACCAGCGGGGGCCAGACAGCTTTCTCCCTGTGGCTACTGTGGCACTGGAGCTGGCTGCGAAGGGACAGCTCCTCGCATGCCAGGGGTGTGGGGCGGAGTGCCTCACACTCAGTCACAACCCACTTGAGACTCACAGCTACCGTCAAGGTCACGAGTTTTAGTAGCATGCCTACTTCACTGTTGAGGAGACAGAGAGAGTAAGCAACTCAGCCAAGACACATGGCTCGGAAATGGGGAAGCTGGGATCTGAACTTTGGTTCATGGGCATCTAAGCCCAGTCCATATCCTGCCTGATGTGTTCGACTGTCCACTGGGTGGCTTCTAGGAGTTTTGTTGGATTTCACGAAATTTGCATGACAAAACAGAAACAGAGAAGTGGAGCAGTTTGCCCGAGCGGGCTCAGGCAGGATTCGAATTTAGGTCTTGCCAGTTCTGTAGCTCTTGCTCTTCCCCAACACCATCACTACCCCTCCCTCTACAGCCCCTGGGTGCTGCACTCAGGGCCGGACTCAGTGCAGGAGACTTGTTCTCCGTCCACAGCTCCACGCTCAGTGGGCCCCGCTGGGTGTAATGTTCAGCTCGCACCGTCTTAAAATTCTTACTACTACTGTTCTTTGAACAAGAGGCCCCGCATTTTTATTTTGCACCATATCCTGCAAATGGTGCCGTCTCCCCTGCCTCGGCCGGATCAGGAAGGATGCGCAGGCCAGGTGTTCAGAGGATCACAACCTTGAACTCTGTCTCCTTGCACTGCTTGCCACCTGCCTCCCATCTCATCTCTCCTGCACTGCATTAACCACATCAGTTCTGAATTTCCAGGTTTCTTTTTGTTGTTGTTAATTTTTATTTATTGATTTTAAAGAGAGAGAGAGAGAGATGGAGAGGCAGGGGGAGAGAGAGACGCCGATTTGTTGTTTCACCTACTTACGCATTCATTGGTTGTTTCTGGCATGGATCCTGACCGGGGACCGAACTTGCTACCTTGGCGTCTGGGATGACACACTAACCAACTGAACTACCTGGCCAGGGCCCTGGAATTTCCTGGTTTCTGACTTCTGATTCTCCCTCTGCTCTCAGTGCTTGGGACCCCAGTTCCCTGGGCTTCTTCCCATCCTGTGTTTTGCCTGTGGCTTGCCCATCCTGCACTTCTTGTCTCTGCAGGTTCCTGCTGGCCACCTGCTCTCCTGAGAGAAGGGTCCTCGCTTCTCTCAGTTCTGGGCTTTGCGCTCCTGTCCACAGGGACTCGGGCCTCTCAGGTTGCGGCCCTGACCCCTCCCGCCCTGTGATTATTGTCTGTAGCCTGCATCCGGCTCTCATGGCCAGCACGTGGGCCACCGAGCTGTGTAAACAAGTTCTACACGTGTCCCTATTTGGGCAAGTCGGCAAGTGAAAAATAAGTTAGAATCCCAAGAATGCAGAGCATGTAAAGATTCTGTAGACTGAGGGGCTTACTGTACAAAGTGTCACCCAGATGAAGACCAAAGAAGCGACCACTCCAGGAGGGCCAGCTCTGAGAAAACGGGGTTTGTGCGTGAATTCCGGGGCATGAGGACAGTCATTCTATCTTGTTTTATCATCAGGTGTTTTTCTCTGAATTGATCAGAAGCATGTGTGTGTTTGAACAACTTCCATTTGTTTTAAATTAATGTTTCTTATGGCCTTTGGCTAAGTAATAACTTTGGTAGGTTTATGAAATTTGGCAAATGAAAATAGAGGGTGCTCAGTTACATTTGAATTTCAGATACACGGCAAATGAACTTTTTTAGTATGCGTGTGTCCCAAAGAGGGCCCGGGCCTCCTTGTGTTTCATCTTGTGTGGAAAACCGAGACCCTACTGTGCACAGTCTCGGCAACAGCGTGTAAACCCTCAGTCACTGGCCACTGTTGGTGGAGTGTCTGCTCTGTGCTAGTCACTGGGTCTATGTCCCAGTCAATCCCTTGTTTTGCTGCCCGCTTTTACAAATGAGAAAACAGAGACTTTGAAATGCTAAAAAAAAAAAAAAGACCTCATCCAAAGTCACGTAGCCAGTAAGTGACCACTCCAGGATTTTGACCTTGGTCTGGTCCCCAAACCCAGCCCTTTCTTCCACCCTACCTTCCCATCGGCTTTTCTCTCTGTCTTTCAGAGAAGTCAGAACCATCGTGCCCACTGCCCCCGAACGCCCACAGAGTGCCCTGTGTGTCAGCCAATAGGAGGCTGATCCCATGCGCAGCTATTTCGAAAGCTAGACATGAATGCCGAAATCCATGTGGACACTCCAAGGTGGAGCTGGGAAGCCTCAGATCCGGCTGAATCCTATTATTAGAGAGCTCACTGCAGCTCGATTCCCAGAATATAGCTGGTAATTCTGGGAACCCGAGACCCAGCAGCAAACCACCACCCTGTGAAGGGCCCTAAAAGGGGAATAAAAGCCAGTGAAGTACATTAAAATATGAAAAGTTTTAAAGCCTGAAGATTGAGGTAATGGCCCCAGAAACAGACACTTTTAGGCCGAAGTCAGACCACGCTGGGTAGACCAGAAATGACTTGCAGGGACGGCTCCCCATGGAGCCCGGAGAACATCGGGGCAGACTGAGAAGCTGGCTCGTTTGCGTGTGCACGTCCACGCAGGAGCTCCGAGGACACAGAGTGGAAGTCCGACCTCGGGTACCGGGCGCTTTGAAGGAGGGTGTTCGGAACGGTGGCTGCTGAGCTCAAGGCTGAGCACATTTGCCTTCTTAGGTTATGGTCAGCACTGCCTCCCCCACTCCCAGCTCTGCTGAGGTGTTACTGACATTTAACGTATGTAAGTTTAAGGTGTATACAGCGATGATTAGATACATGTATACATTGCAACGTGATTACCACAGTAAGGTTAGTTAATACCTCCACCCCCTTGCATAATTGTGACTCTGTGTTTGTGTTGATAACATTGAAGATCTACTCTTAATGAATTGCCAGTCTGTAACGCAGTATTGCTAATTATTGTCACCACGCTGTGCCTTAGATCTTCAGATCTTATTCATCTTATAGCTGGGAGCTTGTTTTATCATCACTAGTGTTAATTACAGAGTTCCCTGTGTTCGCGTTGCATCTTAGGATTGGGGCTCCAGCTCTCTTCATTTTAATTGTACTTGAAACAGCTGGACAGTCATTGTATCTTGCATGGTTCTCAGCTTCCGGGCAAAGAGGAAACTGGTGATAAGAACAGGCGATTTTTCTGTTTCTCATGGACCCCCCTCTGCTTCGCCATGGGTAGACGTGGGTTTGAATCGTGGCTCGACTACTTACTGATCCGGATTTGTTGAAAAAGTGGCCCATGACCTATTACTGTCTCAGAGCTGAAGATCAGAATAATAAAACCTCCCTTGGTAAGGGCTCCAAGAGGCGTAACTTGCTTTGCACAAATTGTCAAGTGGTTACTGTTTTGCAACAGTCCAGCTTCCCCTTCTAGCAGACGGCAGAGACCTGTCGATACTATTTTTAATCCATTTCGGCAGACTCTGACAGAAGCATCTGCTTGTATTAGGTTTGCACGCAAATCTGCAGCCTCCTGGTCCTCTTCTACCTGAAACGTGTGCTCTAAACCAGCGCCTTATGGGAACAAACAATCAGTGCGGTTGCCAAAATGTTTGAATCATTTGGGTAGTGTCTTCAACTTTTTAAGTGAAAATATTCTACTAAACTTAGAATACAACTACATTTTTGGGGGCGGGCAGGCTTCTGAGCACACGGCAGCCCTCGTCTATTTCATGTTTATTGAACATCTATCTACTCTGCACTAGATACTATGGGAGGGAAGATACATTGGACTGTCCTGCTCACCGGAAGATACACTGGTACCTAGTTGGTGGTTTGTTTATCAAACAAAGAGTCACACAGAGAGAGATATAATTACCATAGTGACAAATGCCACAAAGAGGAAGTCAGGGTGTGAGTGAGTTGAAAACAAGAGAAGTACCTGAGCTCTACCTTTCGGAGATAATTCTCTTCAACTCCCAGCCACAGGGAAAGGATTTCCTGTGAAAAGCAATGACATAGAAGCAATGTAATGAAACCAAGTAAAACCCTGCATAGGTTAGAGAGACGAGTATGCGGCATTCTAGATTGGACCCTCCCGGCCCGTACGCCCTTGTCCATGGGCTCTGGGCCCGTAGTTATTTTGCTACCTGGCTAAGGAAAATAGCGTCCTCCTTGGTCTTTTGACTCTGTTCCAAGTAAAGACCTGGCTGTGTTCAGCAGCAGGGAGATGAGCAGCCAGGAGCTAAGGTGATCAACCTCGTGTATAGGAGTCAGCACCCAGCAGCCCCTGGGCACAACCAAACCTAGGAGCACTGAGGCTGGAGTCCCCAGCTGAGCTGCAGGGAGCAGTGAAGTGTCACTGCGGGAGCATGTCAGATCGTGGAAGATGCTAGTAAGAGACAGGTCTGGACGGTTTCCAGGAGCTTCTAAGAACCCAGACGTGCAGTCCCTTGGGGAGCCACCCCTTCTCTGCCACAGCCAAAACAGTCCAGCAAAGGGCCACCCTGCAACCCGTCCCGGGCGTGAACTCGCTCCGGCAGCTTCACTGAGAGCGTGGGGCCCCAGTTGATCTTCACGTTATTGCTCAGTTCTGGGGCTCAGCATTCAGTGGGTGCTGGTCCGGAGTCTTTCAGTCATGCGCTTTTTCTTTGGCAATGTGACTCTTTTGCCCCACGAGTGGCGCTGGTCAGGGTGTCCTGAAGCCCTGGGGGATGCGTCTCACCACTCGCTGGCTTCTCTCTTGTGAGACAAGATGCAAACTCTCAAGCTCCACGCTGGTTCCCCATCTTTATACCCCATTCCATCGTGGCTGGAACTGTAGGCACGGCGGTAGACGGGGGCCAGTCCCAAACTTAGCCTTTCACTCACCTTGGCTTTGGGGAGAGCAGGGTAAAGTTATAGGGCTGAATCCCAGCCCTCCCTTCACCGGATCTCGTGGTTCATCGTGTTCTCCCACAGTTGTGTAGAAGAGGGTGGAGATGGTAGTGAGGGGAAATTGTATATTGTAAGTAGGAAAAGATGGGCATTTTTCTCAGGGGGGATGCATTTTTATTTTTCAGAGCAGTCTTTGAACTCGAATGATTTAATGACGTCTGTTTAATGGTACTGGCTTCTTTGTTTTACAGAAACAAACAATCACTGCTGTCAAAAAAGAGGTAACTAAGTCTCCAGTTCTAGGGAGGTGGGATTTTAAACCCTCTAACAAATTATGTGTACTTTGGCTTTACACTCTGCACTCAGTAATGAAGTGAAAGCCGAGTGTAAACTTCGAGGGACTGTTCACACACTGATGAACAGTGGAGCCTGGCGTGGTGTCTTCACCAGGGCCGAACGGGGCTGTTGCCAAGACCCCAGCTGTGGCCCTGGGAAGGCACAGCTCTGTGGGACGGGCGAGCACAGACTGTGGTGTCTGCATCCCTTCCCTGGCCCTTGCTCCCGCGGTGACGACAGGGCTGTTCAGAGCCTGCCTGAGGTGGCAATTACCTACTTTGGCAGATCTTGTATCCAGGGCCCAAGACAGAGCCCTGGTGACTGTTGGCTATTGAGGTTGGGTCTGCTTGGCTACAGATCAGTCCCCATGTCTTGGTTTAATGCTCCGTAGAACTTTTTTTCCAGTTGGTGCCTTTTTTCAGACGAACACATGATGGGTTAGGGAGGCCCCTGATTGGGCGTGTGGGGTCACCCATTGACTGTGGGTACTGAGGTGTCTGCCTTGAGGAAATGGAATGGAGTGCTGTGACGGACAGATGGCTTCTAGTTCTAGAGGTCACAGGAAATGTCAGCATTAGCGACACTCCGGGGTGGGGAAGTGGGGCATCTTCTAACGACTGTGTCTCTTCCAGATCATGTATTACCAGCAGGCCTTACTGAGGTCCACGGTGAAGTCTTCAGTGTCCCTCGGAGGGTACGTTCCTCACTCACTGGTGTGGACAGCAGAGAGACAAGAAGAGAGCTTGTGCTTTAAGGCAAACTAAAGACCCTAATGACCTCTGAGGGACACAGCGGCCTCGTAGGGGTTCAGTTACCAGTTTTTCACTCAGTGCAAGTCTCCACGTCTCATCTCGGATGAGGCAAAGTCAGGGGTGGGCGGGGTTCTGGGCAGGCCTGTCACCTGTCTTGGAACCCACTGCTGTGTGGGTGGGAGGTGGGGAGAGTTCACGGACTGGACCCTACAGGGACCCCTGAGAGCCAGCGTTCCCATCATCACCCATTCAAATTAATTAGGGATATATGGGTTATGTTACAGGGTCAATGACTATTTTAATATCTGTGATTTGATTTAAAATCCAATCAGGATAAACTGGCCATATGGGTTTGGTTCATTGAATGTTCAGGCCATTTTGACCCAGTCTCCCGAGGACGTTATCTGAGAGACACTACAGTGTTCAGGGTCACGATACAAGGCCGAGAGCCTGCATTTTTGATGAAATAGGCACAGAGAAATCAGGAAGGGGCTGGGCTGGGAGACAGCATTTCATTTCACAAGCACCGCGGGGACAGACTTCTGTCCAGTGCCCGCCAATCTGAGTGCCCCTGGAGCGGTTTCCCCGAGAAGACGGTGGTCAGCAGGTGACCACATGTGCAGGAGCAGGAGGGCGGGCTGGTCCAGCCTCTGGGGGCTGCGGCCCCAGGCAGCCGCTTTCCACTTGCCTTTCAGGATCGTCAAGTACAGCGAGCAGTTCTCGTCCAACGATGCCCTCATGTCCGGCTGCCTCCCCAGCAACCCCTGGGTCACAGACGACACCCAGTTCTGGGACTTAAATGCCAAGTTGTACGTATCTGATACATCGGCTTTTAAAAAATAGCTTTTGGAGTTATTCCCAAGTCAATTTTTTTTTATTATATTCATAGAGCCCTGCCACAGTCGCCACAAGCAGGTCCTGCCCGCCGTCGGGGTGGCTAGCTCCTAGTATCGGGCCCAGGGGCTTGTCTGGGGATGCATCTTCCCGGCAAGTGGTCGCCTGCATTGTACAGCTGTGCAGGAATGAGGGTGGGGGAGGACTGGGTGGCACTCTGGGCTGCTGGCCTCCTGGAGGTCAGCAGGGAGCGAAAGCCCCTCGCCCTGTCCAGGCCACGGCCCAGCACAGCCCGGGTGTCCAGTGCTTTTATGAACTGTCGTCCCCGCAGGGTGGAAATCCCAACCAAGATGCGAGTGGAGCGGTGGGCCATCAACTTCAGTGAACTGATCCGGGACCCCAAGGGCCGGCAGAGCTTCCAGTACTTCCTCAAGAAAGAATTCAGTGGTGGGTCTTTGATTTTTCTCAAAAAAGAAGAACTTACTTTTAGACAAGAGGTTTTACTTCTGGGGTGCCTCAGGGGGGCACCAAAGGGGGCCTCACAATTGAGGGGGAAATTTCATTCGCTCACATTGATGTCACTCACCTTCCGAAGCACCCCATCCCCTCCGGCGCCCCCACTTCCTCTCTCCGATCCTGGGGTCCGCACCCTCCTGTGGCCACTGCCGCTGATGCAGCCCCTCAGGAAAACCAGACCAGAAGGGGGGCCGAACAGCGGGCTCCCTCTTTTAGTTCCACAGCCTGACCTTCTTCAGCTCGGAGCGTCTCTGCCCTGGCTGCACATTCGACTCACCTGGGGATATTTTAAAACGTGCTTGCCTGGGTCCCATCCCCAGAAGTTTGTTTTTAATTCATTTGGGGTGGGATTTCCCAAGGTTTGAAAACTCCTCAGGTGATTCTAATTCGTGGCCATAATTAAGAACCGCCCTCCGGGTCTGCTTCCGTCTGGGCCCTTGGAGGGTGCGATTTTACTGGAATGGGTGGGGCCACATTTTAGATAGACGCCCCCCTCTGGCAGGGCTCTTGCATGGCGGACACTTGCAACTCCCTAAATATACAACACTGAGAAATATCTGGGGAAACCAAAAGCCAGACCAGGACCAACTACATTAGGCTGAGCGTTCCATCGGCTTCCATACTTACATTGAGCCATTTACTTTATGGGGTTTGAATGAACCAAGGCCCCAGCACTCAGCTGCCTATTCCCTGAGACCCATTTGCCTGTGTGCAGTTGTTCCTGAATCTAACCCCACAGGACATGCCATTAACTGGCGTGACCTCCTGATGCAACACATTACAATATGGTGTGGATTTTTGATGATCCTTCTAAGTACGCCTAATTGCCGTGATATAACAAAACCCAGTCACAGGTGGATGGGGAAGGGGAGTGCTTTCTGCCGGGACCAAAGCTACTAGCGAATGAGTGGATAGGGTGCCATCTAGTGGCAAAGTCACAAACCACACTCTGAGTTGATCCCACCCAGGCATCACTTAGTAACAAAATCTGTGGAGAAAGTCCCCCTGCGTTATTGAAACAGTACACTTGGTGATCTTCTCACGACACTCCTGAGGCTTCAGGTATGAGCAGGGAAGGTGAATCATCAGTTTGCTCATTTAGTTAAAGACATTTTAAAATTGAGATATAATTTTTTAAAGGTTGCCAGTTTAAAAAAATTTTTAAATTTATTATTTATCTTTAGAAGGGAAGGAGAGAGGGAGAGAAATATCAGTGTATGGTTGCTTCTCATGCATCCCCTCCTGGGTATTGGCCTGCAACCCAGGCATGTGCCCTGATGGGGAATCGAACTGTGATCCTTTAGTTTGTAGGCCCGTGCTCAATCCACTGAGCTACACCAGCCAGGGCTAAAATTGAGATATAATTTATATACCATAACTTCACATACAAAATAATTCATATGCCATAATCCACATACCCTTTAAAAGTGTACAATTCAGTGGTTTTAGTTGATTCACAAAGTGGTATAACCATTACCACTACGTAATTCTAGAACACTTTCACCAGCTCCGAGAGAAACCCTTTACCCATTAAAGGTCATTTTCTTTTTTTTTTTTTTAGAGGTCATTTTCTATACTTCTCTCTTCCTCTGTCCCCCACTCCCTCCCTACCCCCAGCCCTAGGCAACTGCTAATCTACTTTTTATTTTAGTAGATTTGCCTATTTTGGACATTTCACATAAATGGAATCATAAGACACCTGTTCTTTTGTCTTCTCTTACTTGGCAGAGCGTTTTCCTGGCTCATCTGTGCTGTAGCATATAAAACAGTGCCTCATTCCTTTTCATGACAGAGTGATATTTCATTGCGTGGACAGGACACATTTTCTTTGCCCACTCAGCAGCTGGTGGTCATTTGGGCTGTTTCAACTTTTGGGCTATTGTGAATAATGCTGCTATCGACATTCATGTACACCTTTTTGCATGCTCATTTAATTTTTTGTTGCGGTAAAGTATTCATAACATACAGTTTAGCATTTTAACCATGTTAAGTGCACAGTTCTGTGGCATTCAGTACGCTCACACTGTTGGGCAGCCATCCCCAGCAACTGTCCTGAGAACCTTTCATCATCCCCCTGAACCTCTGTCCCCATAAACACTAAGTCCTCATTCCCTCCCGCCAGCTCCCAGCAGCCACTACTCTACCTTCTGTGTGTATGAATCGGTATTTCTCAGTGCCTCATATAAATGGAGTTCACACGGTACTTGTGCTTTTGAGTTGGCTTATTTCATTTAGCATAGTGTCATCCAGGTTCATCCAAGTTGTACTTTGTGCCAGAATTTTGTTCCCTTTTAAGGCTGGATAACATTCCGCTGTGTGCATACACCACGTTTTGTTTATCCATGCCTCCACGGTTGGACATTTGGTGTGCTCCCACCTTTTGGCTAGGGTGAATAATCGCTCACTGAATTTCAGCCTTAAGCAGTGAACCGCCTTTTGCCATGGGCAGGGTGGTCCCCATTGCACCTGGTGGGAGATGAATTGCACGCCCCCGTTTACTCATGCCTGTGGTCTCAAGGACAACCTCATGTTTGGGCTGAAGAGGATGCTTCTCTATAGACTTCTGGGAAGACGTCAGTCAGCTTCGAACTGTGCAACCTTTTCGATCTAAAACACCTGGGGACTTTCAAAAACTACTGTGGAAGGAGAGGAGGGATCTTCTCTTGTCCACTTCCCCACACAGCCATTCTGTGATTCACACATGCACACAAAGCACGCCCCTGCACATACACACACACCCACGTGCACAAATGCACCCACCTCTGGCTCCGGTGACTGACCCTCTGTGAAGTCCCCTGGTGCAGCCAGGCCTTCCCCGTCCTGAGATCCAGTGTCTCGGCATCGCTGCTTGAGCAGCCTCTCTGTTAGGACCTTGAGCTGCAATATGCTCTGTGAGGGGCTCTCAAGGACGGGGTCTCTATGCACAGAGGAGGCAGAGGTCATGCGCAGTCACTGAACACAAGCGAAGGAAATGGGGTCCTTCATGGAGAAAACCTATCTATCGCATAGCGATGCTTGTTTACAAGCCCAGGCACATGCGAACCTGTTCCAGCATGCCTGCTACAGCTGACTTCTGGGACAAAGAAGAGCACGGCAGCCTCTGGGGGCTGACGCGCACCCTTGGGGAAAAAAGCAGCAATCACAGTAGATGCGCAGAGCCACAGACATGGCTGTGCCCACGTGTTTCATCCCACGGAGCACGTGCACAGGAGTCCCCAGGGGAACCTCGCCCTCCCGGGCTCCGGGAGTAAGTGTGGCCGCCCGCAGCTCTGGCTGGCCCCTCAGCGTGCCGTGGCTTGCTTTGTAGAAGGAGATGTTTGCCACGCCGGGGAACTGACTCTATCCCAGCTAACCCATTTCTTTTCTTTTCCTTTCTCTTTTCTTCTCCCCACTTGTTTCCTGCCTGGCTTTCATCCGTGTGGACCCCCTCCGCCCTGGGCAGGGGAGAATCTGGGGTTCTGGGAAGCCTGTGAGGATCTGAAGTATGGAGATCAGTCCAAGGTCAAGGAGAAAGCCGAGGAGATTTACAAGTGAGGATTAGCCCCTTTGGTGGAGGCCCCCCACCCGCCCCCACACCTGCCATGCTATAAATAGCTCACTGCTGCTGCTGTGGAAGGTCCCCCTGATCCTGCGGGAATGTGCTCAGGAGTTAAAAAAGCAGCTGCCCTGAATTACAATGCCTGGTCTTTGACTAAAACCCCTTAGGTCTCTTGAGAGGTAGAGGGGTGTGTGTGTGTGTGTGTGTGTGTGTGTGTGTGTGTGTGGCAGAGACAGAGGAGAGAGAATGGGTGAGGTGGGAAAACCTATTCCTCCTCTGCACATCTCAGGGAAGTGAGGCCCGGGGGGGAAAGGAGGCCCCCCCTAGTGTCCAGGACGGCGGGCCCAGCACAGGGTACAAATGCGGGCTCCACCCTTACCTTGCAGTCACTGGCTCTAGCCCTTCCTCGCTCCGTGGAGCAGTAAGTCTGTCCCTCTGCGGGCCTGCCTCTCCTCCAAATTTCCCCACCAGTTATGCAAGGGCCTAGAGTGTCCATTCAGAAGGGCCAGTCCTGCTTCTGCCCGTGCAGAGGGGAGGGGCAGTGAGGGGAGCCGAGGTGCACGGTCGCTGAGGTCTGTACCCTCCCTCCTGCCTCGCTGTGGCCACGTCCCAGCTGGCCCTCTCTGCACTGGCTGTAGTGGGCACCAGTTGTGGGCTCTGTGGGCCAAGTGCATTCAGCTCACTCAGCCGTGGTTTCCAAAGCCCAGCCACCACGTGGGCTGGAACCGGTGGTCTGCAGCCACCCACGGTGGGCCAGGGCGGGGCCTCGCTTCTGAGCACTTCCACCTTCGGGCCCCTGGTCCCCTTCCTTCAGAAGGACTCAGAATGGACCATCCCAGTTTTCCCAGAGGCACAACGACATTGAAGAGACAGCCTGAGGTCTCAGACTCCGAGGCTCCTGTTCTCTCAAATCTTTTCCCACCTCCTCCCTCAGGGGGGAGGTCTGTGCCCTGAGAGAGGTGAGGGTGCAGGGCGGTTGCCCGTCCAGGAAGGTCCCGTGACACTGTTCCTCAGGACAGTGGTGTCCACCACCTCGCACCCAGCGGCCCACGCACAACTCCTAATTCCCCAAACCCGCTGCCAGGACAGCTGCTGCCTCCGCCTTTGCATCAGCTTCCTTCCTCCCCTGGGCCCCCCCCCTTAGATAGTCTTAGTCCGAGTCCCAAAGTCCCGTGCAGCGTAGGAGCGTGGCGTAATACCCACTCAAGTCTTCTAACCCTCAGCTAGTCCCTGCGGAAACCCCGGGGAGGTCCCGAAATGCCAGGTGGAGCTGCAGGGCTCGGGCAGTGTGGCCAGTTGGGTTCCCACCGGCACCATTGGCAAGGAGGCCCGGTCATCAGACCCCCAGTGTGGGCGTCGTGGGCAGCCTCCCAGTTCAGCCCCCTGAGGTCCGTCTCCAAATGTGTCCAGGCGGGTCCAGGGGAGAGCAGTGGCCCTGGAGCTCCTGTGCGGAGGGTCCTCAGCCCAGACCCTGGTGAAGAACAGGGCAGAGGCCTTCCTTTGGAGGTCAGGCTCCTCCATCCGTGTTTGCTGTCTCCTGGACTGCGGGGACATCGGTTAAGCAGGCATTTCCCCACTTCTGGCTGTCTTCTTCTGAGAAATGCTGCTTGACAACCCTGTCCCTAAAAGGGGCGGCTTTCATCAGGGAGACCTGAGTCACGCCAGCCCCTGCCTCTCCAGCAGCCGAGCACTGTTTAGCACCCGGCCAGGTTTAGCTGCTCTTCCTAACACTTCCCTCCTCGCCCCAGGCTGTTCCTGGCCCCGGGGGCGCGGCGGTGGATCAACATAGACGGCAAAACCATGGACATCACGGTCAAGGGGCTGAGGCACCCCCACCGCTACGTGCTGGACGCTGCGCAAACCCACATTTACATGCTCATGAAGAAGGTAGATGCGGGGGGAGGCCTGTGCTGATGATCCTCTGGGGCAGGAAGCCCTTCCCTTCTCGGGGACCTGGAAAATTCTGCAGATGTGGGGGACAGGGGGATGATGTGGCTGCGGCTGCGGCTGCGCTGATGTAGGCACGCAGGATGGCCAGCTCTCTCTTCCATCTATCCCCGGGGCTGGAACCTGCCTGAGCCCCCGGCTTGCTGGCTGGGGAGGCCCGCCGGTGGGTGCTGTGTGGGTTGCACCTCTCACTCTGCTGTAGCGTCACAGGCGGTGATGACACCGGTAATGACAGTGTAGCTCTAAGGACTCTTACTTACTGAGGGCTTATGAGCTGCAGTCGCTGGGCCCAGCACGGACTTGAGTCAAAGACAACCCATGAGGTGGGAACTGCTTCTCCAGACTCTGAGGTTTGCTCGGGGTCTCCCCAGGGGTGTCTGCCTGAGCCCAGAGGCTGAGTCCTTCATCTCCACTGCAGAATGGTGGCAGCTCTGGTGGCCCTGGCCCCGAGCACATGTAACCCATTTGGGAGGTCAGTGTGTGGTTACTGAACAGCTCTGGAAGAATCCAGACAGCCCCTAATAAAAATTAAATGATTAATGTCTATTAATAACCCAGATTATTAATAAAAAGTGAAAATGGTGGGAATTTTTGGAACATTGTTTGGACAAAAAAGGGAACCTGAGAGAAAATGAATCACTTAACTTTTTTAACTTTCCTTGAGATGAAAGTTCCATGGTATCTATCACTGTTTTATTTTTTTAATTTTTAAAAATTATGTAAAAAATTTTACATTTCAGTGACAGTTTACATTCAATAGCAGTTTGAATTAGTTTCAGGTGTACGGCGTGGGGGTTAGACCATCATACACTTTACAAAGTGCCCCCCCACTTCCAGTTCCCACCTGCCACCGTACATAGTGATCACATATTATTTCAATCGCCCTTTTAAAACGGTAGAAGTTGGGGCTCAGCCTTGGCTTTGGAGAAGTTGCCTAGTGCGGTGGCTACTGGGTGTCACACCCAATGAGACTTTCTTTGGCAGCTGCAACTTCTCACACGGCAGTTACCCCTCTGAGGGCCAAGTGTCTCCAGAGACTTTGTTCACTGGTGCAGGTCTGCGTGGATGGCATTTTTACTAGTTTCCCTTTTTATAGTTCTTTTGCCTAGTTTTTTCAGTGTATTGTATTATAAAGGAATAGTTTTACTTTGCTTTGAAAATATGTAACAATTTGAATTTTCACCCGGCCAGAGTAGCCATGTATGCCTCCTCAGTGGGTTTTTCTGCTTGTTTACCTTTACAGGAAGACTGACTGCAGAATTTCTTTAATACTGGTCTTCCTTAATGTATTTGAAAATACATTTTGACTCTTAAAAATGTGGGTTTTGTACAACCTTGTAGGCAGACAGCCACGGGGTTCAGCCACGAGCCAGAACCAAACAGAATCATGGGTAGCTTAGTAATGACGTACGCGGGAGGTGGGCAAAGGGAGGTTTACAGTGGTGGGAACGTGAAATGGTTCGCAGAGCAATTGTCATCATCGTGACCCGCATGTCTTTCCCATGCGGACCACCGTAAACCTACTTCTGCCCGCCCCTGCGTACGTATTGGACTCCATGTCACTAGAGGGTATTTCCCACCATAATAAACTCAACACAACCGGATGGTCCCCCAAACCCTATGCCCAGACTCTCTCCTAGGTCTCATAGTGTTTATGGCTGCCCTCCGTCCTTAGAACAGTCCTCCTTCCGTAAATAAAAAAGTTCCCAGTCCCCAGTTGTTGCTGTGGGCTCTGACCCCTGCGCGTTGCGACAAGAGCAGTTTTGAGTGTGCTTGGAAGTAGTGAGCGTTCACGAGGCCACTGCTCGCCACCTGGCCAGGGTCCCAGGATGTATCCACGCAGGAAGAGTCTGAGCCTGGGTCTTGGTTTGATTGTCTCTTGCCTTCATAGTCCAGTTCAGGGCAGAAAGGGAGGTTAGCAGGCTTTCAGCAGGCTCCATGCTCATGGCTGCTCATTGTCCTTGGAGGAAGGTATTGGGCGGGACAGGTGGCTGCAGGTGTTCTCTTGTCTCATGCTCGATTCATGGAAGAACCCCCAATGTGGATTTTAGGTGGGGGGGGCCTAGATTTCAATGATCTAACCTGAAGAGCAGTGGGATCACCTGGAGGCTTGTTCAGACCCAGGTCGTCCTGCTCCCGGAGTTTCTGGCTCAGTAGGTCTGGGCAGATCGGAGGATGTGCATTTCTAGCGTGTTGCCGGGTGACACTGGTGCTGCTGGTCTGGGGACCACACTTGAGATCCGATGCTTTGGAGTCGCACCGAAATGCCTTTCACACAGAGGGGCAAATTGTTTTAACCTTCACCTAATTGCAGAGGGAAGGCTCGAAAGTGGCAAGTGTGTTTGTTTCATTCGACACTTCCCTCTCATAATCAGTTTTTCTCTTGCTCCCACCAGGATTCTTATGCGAGGTACTTGAAATCTCCAATCTATAAGGAAATGCTGGCCAAAGCTATCGAACCCCAGGGAACCACCAAGAGAAGGCAAGTGGAAGGGGCTGTAACGGCTGGTTGCCTGATGCGTTGTTTGCAGAGAAGTAGGGGTCTCTTGCTGCCCAGTGGCTGTGGTTGAAATATTCGTCTGAAGAAAATACTGGGGACTGGGATGTATTTCTCAGGGTACATTTGCCGCATTGGCTTCATGATGCCCCGAAGTCACCCTAGCAAGATTTCCTCAGTCGTTACTGCCAGTAAGTTTTGTTTCCCTCGTTCTGGTTGGAAAGAGCATTTAAAAAATGTATTTTATTTATTTATTTTTAGAGAGAGGAGAAGGGAGGGAGAAAGAGAGGGAGAGAAACATCAATGTGTGGTTGCCTCTCACACTCTCCCCACTGGAGACCTGGCCTGCAACCCAGGCACCGTGCCCTGACTGGGAATAGAACCAGCGACCCTTCATTTTGCAGGCTGGTGCTCAATCCACTGAGCCACACCAGCCAGACTTGTAGAGTCTTCACAGACTCATAATTACACTTACCACAATTTTTTAATTAAAAATTTTTAATTTTTTGCAACTCACCATTTTTTTAATTGCTACACTTCTCCACCTCCAGACTGATATATGGGGATTGATTTAGCCACATCCTTGTACCCTTGCAATGTCCCAAGACCTTATAGAGAATAACAGCTTGTACTCCAAGAAAAATGGTAGATTACTGAGGGGAAACGAACAGTGACATCCTAAGAATTCTTGGTGACTCCTTTCAGTACCTGTTCATTAGCTCCTTCCTTCTCATCTGCCTCATTAGAGATGCAGATGATATCACCTGGCAGAGCGCCCGGGCAAAGGGTGGAATAAGGTTTTGAGGGGGCAGTTCAAACTCCTTTTTTGGGAAAAAGAAACTTCTGTCACTGTGATTTTCAACCTTTTCCATCTCATGGCACATATAAACTACTAAAATTCTATGGCACACACATAATATATTTTTTTGCTGATCTGACAAAAAAGTTGATACAATTTTGATTGATTTACAAATAATAACAATAGTAATCACCGACACTTTTTGCTCTAAAGTGACTTTTGGAAAAGTCAGGTGCCTATACTTGTATATAAGGATTTCTGGCCCTGGCTGATGTGGTTTAGTGGATTGAGTGCTGGCCTGAGAACCAAAAGGTTGCTAGTTTGATTCCCAGTCAGGGAACATGCCTGGGTTGTGGGCCAGGTCCCCAGTAGGGGGCATGCGAGAGGCAACCACACATTAATGTTTCCTTCTCTTTCTTTCTCCCTTCCCCTCTTTAAAAAAAAACAAACAAAAACAAATAAAACCTTAAAAAAAAGGATTTCTGATACCAAGAATTAACCAATCAAACACAACTTTATTATGTGACATGACCAATAAGATGCAACTTTATTCTATAACCTATATATTCATGGTTCAAAACAGGGCATTCACCCTGGACAGCTATCATTGTGTTGGATGTTATCATTTTTAAAAAATTTCACACCCCAAAGGAAAAGAGGTCAGTGCCCCTGATGAAACAGTCAGGCGTTGCATGTTTTAAAAATTCTTTCGGCACATGGGTTGAAAATCTCTGCTCTATGGGGACTGAAGACTCCAAAGAGTGACCAAAGGACAGTTTGCACAAAGACCTGGGACTTTGGCGGAGGTTTTTCTAGCGCCAACACGAGTCCAGTCCCCGTGTCGTTAGTAAATGTTCCCGTTCGAGGCTCAGCCCACGCTGGGCTCTTATCCAGTACCTCCAGTGGATTCAAAAGTGGGGGTGGGTGGTTGGCCCAGAGCCTTTATCAAAGGAGCTTTTTATAAAAAAAAAAAAAAACCCAACTTGGTTTCATTCTTGAGGATAATGGCACTGTTATGAAAAGGAGAGAAAGGGGGTCTTTGTGGTGCTATTCTTCTAGGTTTACCTGGGAAGGAAGGGAGGTCAGGGTCCCTGGGGATTTGAAAGCATCTCCTTTAAGCCACAAGAAAGGGCCGTAATCGCCCCACAAGTTCTGCCTGAAAGTGGTGGGGAAGGCAGGAGAGTCCCGCTCACACTGCTCGCTGCAGATGTATTGTGAGCTGAGGCAGACCTGAGGAATCAGCTGGATCTTCTCTCAGGTGCCCCGGGGCACTCTGAGGGCTGCGGTGGCCTTAGACCACAGGTGTGGCCTTGGACCACAAGGGCGGCGCTAGGCGTTAGTGTTGGGGTGTGGCATTGCTGCCACGGCCACTGCCACCACACTTGGGAATGCATGTGGGGACGCTTTTGTGACTCGTGAGGCTGGGTTTGTAATCGTGTGGGGACAGGGGTGAGTATGAGTTTGTTCTGTGACTCGCGAGTGTAAGACAATGTATGAAACTTAATGTTTTCAGAGCTAGTGAAACCGAGCTCCGGGCCTTCTCTTGCAGGGCCGGTGGGAGACAAGCATCAGGCACGGGTTGCTCTCAGGGAGCCCCCCTCCTCCCCAGGGCGGATGAGGAGCTCCGTGGGCTTTTGTGCTGCAGAGGCATGGGGAGGTCCTAGGGTTTAAGTCCACCATGGCTGCTACAATGCTCGTTTTCCAAGCCTCTGGGTTGTTTACCTGCTCACTCTCTCCTGTATCAGTCAGACACCGAAACTTTGTCCTGGCTTCCAAGGCCATGGTCAAGAGAGTTTGGTCCCAGGAGTCCATGTTTAACTTCTGTAGAAGGTCCTGACTCATTCGGTGCATGTGCCCAGAGCCAGCAGCTCCCCAGCCCTCTTTTGGCCCCTCTCCCTTTCTCTGCCCATTGACATCAGGCCTCTTAAACAGCCCGGCTCTCTCCCTCCTTCCCAGAACCTTGGCTTTGGAAAACAAACAAATGCTCGGACTCTTCCTTAAGGCAGGAACCCTTGGGCTCCCAGTACCCAAGCCCCGCCTTTCTCCTTCTTTCAGGAAGAGCCCATGGGAAGTTGAGACAACACATTAATTTCTAAAGGTTGTAGGTGTATCCAATCATCACCATCCCAGCAGTCTCCGTTGTGCCTTGCCTAAAGTCTGGTGGCAGTTGAGACTCTCTCTGGTCCCATGCTCCAGGGGCAAAGAAAAGAACTAAGGTGGGACCCACCTCTGACAGCCCCACTTGAGGTTCCCCGGGAGAATGAGGGGACAGGTCCAGATTCTGGCCTCCCAGCCCTGCCTCCAGAACAGGTGGTGTGGGGTCACTGCTGGGCAAGCCTGCGGCTTTCTGCTGACCGCCAATCCTGTCCCTCCTTCCAGCTCCAGCCTCCCATTTATGCGGCGTCACCTGCGTTCCAGCCCGAGCCCTGTCATCCTGAGGCAGCTGGAGGAGGAAGCCAAGGCTCGAGAGGCAGCCAACACGGTGGACATCACCCAGGTCATGAGCAAGCTGGACCGTAGGAGCCAACTCAAAAGGGAGCTGCCTCCTAAATAAGTCTACAGTTCCTGGGGGTGGCAAGGGCGTGCCCTTGGGAGAGGCACACAAAGGCAGGGGTGGAGCCTAGAAGAGTCATTCCCCATCAGTGGGGGGGGCCCTGGGGTAGACAGGTTCATGCCAGCTCCCTCCGACCTCCTTCATGGTGAGCTTTTTGATACCACAGCAACTCGTGGTTCTCTCACTCCAACAGCCCAGGGGCAGGACCGGCAGTGGTGGGGGCAGAGCACCCGACTCAGCTGCTGTGTGACCACCCATCTTCTGGTAGGGGGTTCTTGCAGTGAGCACCATAGAGAAAACAGGCTGATTTGTGTTCTACCACTTGCTTTGGAAAAGTAAAGAGAAGGCCTTCTGCGCCCCCCTCCACTCCCACGCATAGTTCTTTCAGGCACATTTGTTTCAAATAGCTCAGTGAAGCGCCCCCTTCCACCCTCATCTGTCCAGTTTAGACTTGGCTTCTGAGGCAGCTGCAGATCCTGCCAAGGGACGAGTCTCAGGGCTTCCCTATAGATGTGCGTCCCTGGACGCCTCCAGAGCAGTCAAGGTGAAATGGCCTTCAGAGGAGCATCTTTTTGGAGAAAGAACGAAGGGGCCAATGTTTTTGTTCATGGGAGGAAGGATGGTAGATATCTGTGCCATTTTCAAGAGGGGTCAAGATCAAAGATAATACTCTCTCAGGTATCTAGGGAAGCCTAGATGTTAGTGCTTCTCTCCTCTATAGCTGTAGACTAGGCCAGCCCTGTGGTCGGGGTGGAGTGGAGGGCAGTTCAGACTCTAACCCTGGGAGGCCGACAGGGTTATCTGTGAAAGCAGGCTTGCCCCACACACCTGGGTAAGAAGGCAAAGGAGATAGAACAGGTCACTGAGCACCTTGCACCGCAAGAAGACTCACTCATTGAGCCTGTTGACTGAGTGCCTACCATGTGCCAGGCATTGGAGAATAAAATAGACACAGTCCCTATCTCACGGAGCTGTGCCATGGTGGTGGCCTCGGCGGGGATGAGTGGAATGCTTCTTCTCTGCTTCACACGTCTCATCCTTCAGCACTAGCCTAGGCCTGAGGCTGCCTGTGGGGATGGCAAGGGACTGAGTGGAAACACATAAGGTTTTTGAGGGGTAGGCTAGGAACTGGCACACGGTCTCTCCCCCCTCATTTGGTTGGCCAGAGCAAGAACCAGAGCCCACTTAGAATCAAGGAGCGGGAAAATAGACTCTATTTCTTTAGTGAGAAAATGTCAAAGTCTCATGGCAGAAGGCAAGGAGACAGGGAGGCAGAGAGAATTGGGGCCGTGATAGCAATCAACAACGCAAACCCATAGATGGCAAAACTCATACAAGGCGTACTAAGGAAATGGATGTGACATTGTGTTAGCAAGATGACGGGTTGTGCAGGTTACGGAGGCCTCTCCCGGGCGGTGACAGATGAGCAGCTGATGGAAAGAGCTGGCTATACAATGAATGTGGGCTAGGCAGGGAGACCTTTCCAGGCTGGGGGGCTTCGAGGACAAAGGCCCAGCGGTGGGAAACAGCCTAGAGTGAACGGGAACACTGCGGGGGCAGAGCCTGGTGGGGGGTGGGGGCAGAAAGGGAACAAGATGAGGTGAGAGAGCTGGGCAGGGCCCGGTCATCAAGGACTTTTTAGGCTGTTGTGAGGAGTGTATGGCTCTTGGTTTCATATAAGCAAAATGAGTTTCCTTCATGGGACCAACTTTGCTCATTTGCTTTTGGGGACAGTGAGGGAAGGGTGAGCGAGAAGGGACTGGAGGGGTGAGTGCTCACTGCATGCTGAACCCGAATGCAGCCCTCTCCCCACCCGCCTGCTCCCAGGGAGTCAGAGTTCAGGTGGCCACGAGGTCTCCCTCGACTTCTCACTCAGTTTCTGGACCGAAAACGAATTGCATCTCTTTGTGCCGTCTGCTCTGCCTTTCATTAAAAAGCCTGTGACTGTGTCCTCATGTCAACATTCCTGCTCCATTTCATGCTCCTTCTCTCACTTCTGTCGGCTCCCCTGCATAATAAAGCATCAGCACAGCACAAAACAAAGCAAAACCGAGCTCTCCTCCACTGTGTCTCTGGTGTGTCCCATTTCTTTGCCATGTGCCTTGCATTTCATTGCTTTGCTGCTTCACACCAACAACGGTGGGTATGGCATCATCTGGAAGGGCTGGGTCTCCAAGTGCAAGCCCCAGACCCCTCTAAGAATGGCCAAGGTCATGGGGGCTGGGGTGCAAAAGCCATCCTGCTTAGAGTATCCAGGGCCAGTTGGGCTAATGGCTATTTGCTCAGAAGGGAGGACCTCCTCAGGCCAGGTAAGTGAAGCAGGACAATGGCCACCTTCCTTACCTGTACTGTCATTCATCCTGGGAAAGAGAAGGATGGGGGGGGTGAAGGGGATGGGAAAGAGGGCAAAGAATCGGGGGAGTGGGGGTATGTGGAGTGGCTCATAGCTGTATGATCTTGGTTACACTGCACTGTCACCATGAGCCTCAGTTGTTTTTTTAATCTGTGAAGTGGGGATTGTCATGAGGGTTTGTCACAAATTCTATATAAGTAGGGTGGGGTGTTCTCGTCACTTAGTTCAGGGAAGAGCAGTTGGAGGAGTCTTTATCTCTCATAACAAAGCTTATTTCATAGCTCTGCTGCTTTGGCCCACTCCCCAGGACCCCAAGTCCTGCCCAGACCCACAGGCAATGGGATGGCAATATGGATCAGTAGAAAAAGCAAGGGCGGTGGGGTTACACAGAACGGGGATTGTGGGGGCAACTTTGCCCACAAAGTACCCCTGTCCGCCACGGATGAAAGTAAACACTACCAAGACATGATCTGCTTGGGGAGGAAAGGTGGCCGATCCCTCAAAGGGGAAGGGCCAAGAGCCCTCTGCTCAATGGGCTTTTATTGGGCTCATTTGCACAAGAATACAGGTAAGGATCAAACAATAGATAGCATTCAAAGAACTATGAGGGCTTATTCTCAGTCAGGGTCTAAAGAGCCATAAAACTTTGAGGAACCAACTTCTTGCTTGGACCCTTATTTAAATGAGAGCATTCTAAACAAAGCAGGTTTCACAGGATTTTTATATATTCTTTCTTATGCTTGATTTACCTCCATACCTGCCCTTTCCAGCACAGGGCTGCACCGCCTTCCCCATTATAGGTCTTTAGGCTTAAGTGGATTAGAGCCAGGCAGTGCTTCTCCCCGACAGAAATGGGGACTTAGGGGATATCACAATAGCCGGGGGAGACGAGGGTCCATCGCTCCCTCTTTGGCGCAGCCCCCAACCCCCACCAGTCCTTCCACGAAGGCCTCCCAAGTGATCGTGTCTGGACTAGGTTGCCCCTCTCTGAGGGGTCGTACCCACCGTGGACATCGACCATGCTTTAGAGGCAGGGGAGGAAGCAGAAGTATCGCTTGCTGCCAGAGACAAGCTTTGTCTCCTGTGGCCTGCATTCTGGAGGTCATTCACTTAGCCATGGGAGGCAGTTACAATTCCTGAGACCAGGCAGGGCAGTTCCCAACAGGGGATCAAATTCTCATTCAGTCATGAGATTAGTTATCTACTGCCACCTAACAAATTTGCAGAAACAGCTGTGGGCCACTTCCCAGCCCATGGTTGGCCGGGGGAGACTTGGGGCTGCACTCAGGGCCTCCCACTGAGCTGTTGCAGGGCCCTGTTCTTCTTGGGAAGAACCTGCTTCCAAGTCCATTCACACTGTTGGTAGGACTCAGTTTCTCGCTGTAGGATAGAAGGCTCCAGTTTTTTACTGGCTGTCGGTAGGGGGCTGCTGTCAGCTTCTACAAGCTGCCCAAACTCCTTGCCACATGGACCCCTCCACCTGAGAGCCAGGAGTGGAGAGATTTTCCCTCGTTGAATTCCTGTCATGTCTCAGGCCTGTCTTTTATCCCTGGCCTCTAGACTCAGCTCTGAAGGGCCCAGGTGCTGAGGTGAGGCTCACCCTGATGCTCCTTCCCTAAATTCACCTGTCACGTAGTCTGGCCATGGGGGTGCCTACCAATAGCATTCACTGTGTACACACACACGAAGGTTGGGGGCAGGGTTCCTGGGGCCACCTTGGAATTTCACTGTACACACCACACTGGCTGATGGGCTTTGTGAATCTGGGGAGGGTGATGAACTCCGTTGGTCCTCAATATTCTCTTCTCTAAAATGAGGCATCTACAGATTTGTAGTGTGCCTACTACACAGCAGATGCTTAATGCCTTATAGGGCCCTCTTTTGACCTAACAGTTGTCCCCCAGCCCTTATTGAGGGTGCAGCTCCTCCCCCCACCCACTGTTGTTCTTTGCAGACTGTCCTGTGTGGAAACTGTGTCCCCACTGAAGGGAGGCATTGGAAGCATAGCTCAAAGCTCCTCAATCTTACTGGGCATAATGACGCCCTTGGGTGTCAATTAGAAGATGCTTTGCTTGAATCACATGCCCTGAGAGTCTCCATCAGTGGGTCTCGGGTGGGGCTAGGATGTGCCTTTGTAGCTGGCCCCTGGGGTGATTCTGATGAGACACCCAGCTAGCGGTCCCATGCTGAAACTAAGGAGTCAGCCAGCCTGGTTCAAAGCCTGTCCCGCCATTTCCAGCAGCGTGTCCCAGGGGTTTGGTTTCTCGAGTGTGTTGGCTTCCTCATCTGTGAGATGGGCACAATAATAGTTAGCTCCCTCCCTGAGTGGCTCTGGGAAGTAAATGCAATAATCCACATAAAGTGCTCAACCCAGAACCTCACAGTTCTTCTTGGGAAGAACCTGCTTCCCAAGAAGCAGGTAAGTTCTCACTGCTTATTAACAATAACAACCATTCAGCTTAGTGTAACAACCCAATGGCCCCAGATCTGGTCTGTTGACCTGTGGGTATCTGAGCAACCAAGCAGAATCAGTGGCTTCTGTTTCACCGAGGAATCTTGTTTGACCTTGAACTTCAGGAGGCAGTTGGGAGAGAATGCAGACCCCACCCCCACCCCACAGCAAAGCACACTGTGGCCTCCTGGGTTTCTTTCCCTCCAAAAGCTGTTCTTGGATGCGCCTGCCCTTTCTTCTCCAGGCTGGGACTGGCACACTCCAGTGACCTGGAAACTAGGCCACAGGCTGAAGAAGCAGGCAGCTACCTCTTGGGGCCCACGGTGCCTGGGTCCCAGTGGGGCAGGCACGTCCCTCTAGGCAGGACCTTGGGGTGGCTGTGGTGTGTTCTTCACTGAAATCATTGCCAGTTTTCTCTTGGAGGCAGTGTTGGTCCAACTGTCCCAGGGGGTCCCCTCTCCCCACCAGGTCCAGCATGTCCTTAGGCCTGTTCACTCTGGGCTTTGGTGTGGCACTTGGCCACAAGAGGCCTTCAGGGCAGGACCAGTGAGCTCCAGCCAGTGGGCCTGTGCACTCTGGGCAGGGAAGAGAGGTGACAGCAGAGAACCTCCCCGAAAACTCCAATTTTCACTTTCCCACTCAGCCCGAGCTCTCTTGGGCTTCTTGGGCTCCTCCAGCTGCAAACGTGCCTGACCCAGCCCTCCTGCCCCAGAGCTCTGGGACCCAGGGGCCATGGTGGCCCAGGGAGGCTGAGACGCTCCTCCTCCTCCTCCGATGAGTAACCTCATTGCCCCATATTTCTGCTTCCTTCTCCTGGCTAGTCCAGGTTCCACATCCAGTCTTTCTTCCCAGTCGCCCCGCTCTGCTCACGGGAGGCACTGGGAAGAGCTGGGTCTGGCCAGCCCCCAGTTCTGGTCGGTGTGGACACAGGTGTGGGTTCAGGTCAAGGTGGGTGGTCTCAGGCATGGAAGAGTCAGCCAGGCACGAGCTGGGGCTTCTTCTGCCATCTCTGGCACCCTATCAAAAATTCTCTAAATGCCTCCAGTCCTGAGGAACCAAGAACAGAGAAGGGATGAGGGCACGAGGCAGGCACTAGACATTGCTCACCTGGGTCTGGGATTGGGGGGTGATTGGGAATTCAGCCTGGCCACACCCCAGCTTCTCAGGCTGGAGGAAGGCCAGCCTATGCCCTGGGATGCAAGTGCTGAAGTCTGGGGACCATGGCCAGGGCTTGGGGACAGACAGGCTCTTTGACAGGAGACCTCTGCGTGGCTGTGCCATTGTCACAGGTAGCTTTGGGCACCCTTTCTGACTTCTGAGAGGATAGCCATGCCCTGTGCTTTAGGTACTGCAGGGGCCAAGTCAGCAGAGGGTGGCCCCGGGCCCATTGACTGGTCAGCCACCCATCTCACTCTGAGCTCTCTCTCTCTTCCCTGCAGCCAGGCCAGCACACAGCTCCCAGCCCCCACCTGGCTGTGTACACGGGGACCTGCGTGCCCCCCTCTCCTTCCAGCCCCTTCTCCCCCTCCTGCCGCTCCCCTAGGAAGCCCTTCCCCTCGCCAGGCCGTTTCATCCGGAGACCCAGCAACACCATCTGCCCCTCACCCATTAGGGTGGGCTTGGAGAGCTCCTTGGGCTCTGAGCAGAAGGGGGAGGCCTGCGGATCTAGTGCCCGCCAAGGACCCTCTACTGCTGATACCGGCGAGTCCTCTGCCGACTGCCCTGGGCCTCAGCTGCTGCCCACGGCCCCTGCCAAGGCCCGCATGGCTCTGTCCTTCAGCAGTTTTCTGAGACGAGGCTGTCTAGCCTCTCCGATCTTTGCCAGGCTCTCGCCCAAGTGCCCCGCTGTGTCCCATGGGAAAGTGCAGCCCCTCGGGGATGTGGGTCAGCAGCTGCCACGGCTCAAATCCAGGAGGGTGACAAAGTAAGAACCAGAGGGAAGTGCACTGTGCATGCGTGCACATATGTCCATGGGCACGTCCACACGTATATGTGCACATGTGTCCATGGACAAGCACCCTTATGTGCTCATGTGTCTGTGGGTGCATGCATACACATACGCGTGGACACACATTTGTGCATGTGTGTGCATGTATGTCTGTGGGCATGTTCACGTGTATGTGTGCATGTGTATCTGTGGACATACACATGCATGCTCGTGTGCTCACTTGCGGACATATGCATGTATGTGTATATGCACTCATGTTTGTGCATGCCTGTGTACATGTGCCCTTATGTCTGTGG